AGAATGACTTCATTGCTTATGTTGATTTGTCTGCTAGGGTCGGACAATAGTTACTCTACGCTAGACACTGATGATGATGACGTAGTGACTGTCTATGTTTTCCTTACGGACTGAATTCCGAAGTCGATTCAGTGGATGAATGAATACCAGTGCCAGACGCTTGCATTCCTATCAGTTAGCATTTATTAAACATCTATGATGCTCACTGCATGAGGGTTAAGTACAGAGTGCACAACTAGGTCGCAATTTTGACGGAAGACTTTGACGACTAGCCCAGATTTTCTCTTCAGCGTCCGGACGAAACTGCAAGGGACGCCTGTGAAAAGTGCATTCAAAAATCTCAGACACCCAATATTGTTAGAGAGAGCGCGACCAACTCCAACAGCTCACAACTTGCCCTAAACATGTTTGTTTCTGCACTACCACTGCTTGCAGAATAAACAATGGACAGGATGGGCGAGACAGGTGTGCATGTAAATGGTGATTCGTGAAGGCATGTCCATGTAGGTTTTTCATGAAATTTATTTGTTTGAAGTGGTTATAATTCCTATTCTGACTGGCTCAAGCTATCAAGCCTCGCCCACCACTGCCACAGTATGTCTCAGTTTCGCCAAGTTGTTTGAACTGAGTTGCGTTTTCCTGCAGCACTCACGGGTGTTTAGCTAAACAATGTAATTTCCGGCTATCTCACTTAATTGGCTGAGCTTTGTTTCCTCCCTGTTCCTTTCTTTCCACGGTTTTCTTGTTTTCTTTTGTACTTTTACCATGGCTGGTTATCGCCCTCTTCTCTGGGGTTGCTCCCCACATTAGCAATGCGTGCACATGCTACGAGATTGAGTTTAATAATAATAATCACTTTCTGTCTGGCCCGTAACTATCTCGGTTCTCTGTCAGACTTCGGAAAGACAGTGTCGTTGAGCACGACATAAAATATCGCAGAGCCATGTGATCAACCAAGACCTTTGCGAGCAGCGTGTAGAGTAACCACACGTGCAGCTCAATACATTCAGCTCTTTTGCCTTCTGCCTCCGCAGAAAACGTATAATAATGATGGCGAACAATTCAGAGACCATCCACCTGGACGTCTGTAAACGTACATTGTACGTTGAACATACAGATTGATGGGAAGGTCTTTGTTTGCTCCAGGGTATAGCTGAAGTGGATGAAGAGCGGGCGAGCATTCTTTGCAGCCTTGGGCTAGGCCATCGTTAGATCTCAACACCTGCCGTGATCGAGAACCGTTTGCAAACCCTCTGGCTACTTCCACAATCAGCGGCCTGCTTATAACGACTATTTCCGGTTGCCCTTTTGAAAAGGAGCTACAACGAAGTACAATGCGAGCGTGGTACGGGTGTTTGTGGTATGGATCAGGAACGGTATCGAGATGTCCATTTCTCATTATTCTAAAACGGTACATTGTGCTTCACGTGGGCTGTTTGCATGTACCGGCACTAGAGGTGCATGCACATGTACATGTATATTTACTAAGTAAAAGTGGGGAGGCTTCGTGCATTTACATTTCTTCAAACAAAAACTGACTACTAATATTGTACTGTATGAACGACATCAGTTCCTGCAAACGCCTGGTGCGCTTCCTTGCTCCATTAGAAGGCGACAGTGAAGTAGCTGATACCGTTCAACAACAACACTTGTGCGTGAAACTCGGAGTAAAAACACTTTCTCTGTCCTCTCATCGTGTCAACTACATGCACATGTAGAAGGCGGAAAGGTGAGCACACAAACAATGATTGCGCCTGCCGAAATAATGCATTACCTACCATCGACGGTTATGATGCGCAGGGTTGGGGCATGTTTTTTTCTTCGCTCTTGTGACGGTCCTAGTAAACCAAATGCTTCTTCACAACGATGTTTTTTTCTGGGTGTACGTATGGGGCCGAATACTGCTACATGGTGCTAAGTGCCCTAGTACGCCTTGGGCGTTGGGTGCCATAGGATGATGAACGTCACGTGACTCGCAGTAGCCATTTCAGGTTTATCCCATGCCGGTTATTGTGAATTTCGTGATGCAAATACATAATTGCGACTCTGGGCGAGACCATCTGAGGAACAGCTGATTAATGTTTGCTGATGAGCGACACCAGCACGGTGGTGTTTGAAAAATTCTACAAAGTTTTTTTTACGAGATAGGCACAAGCCATCATCTTGCCAAAACGTACAGGGATACACATAGCCTTGGCAGCCGAATCAGTGGAGGCTGGGCGAGAACAGGTAAACCGACTAAGGCAGTAAGGGTCTCAATAGCAGCACTGCTCATCACTGCTCATGCGTACCAGACAGAAAAGAATGAGACCGAGAGAAGAGAGAGGGGGGGGGGGGGGCAGTACCATGTCGAGCTGCTTTGCCACGCGTCCAGTGCATCAATAAACATGCCCTTGTGCGTGGAAGCACACTTTGCACAGATCCACACGCACAGCACGCTGTACATGTATAATACGTAGTACCCCTATGAACCTCCCCCCCCCCCAAACACACACACACACAACACCAACAGTCTTCACTGTTTTTAAACACCCACCGTACATATACAAGGGCTAATCGAAATAGGGCTGCGTGCCTGCACACCTGCGTTCAGCCCCAGGGTTGAAATACGCCCCTGTAAACGACGGGTGTGGTGCAAAATACATTAGCAGCAACTGCGTGCTCCTTAGCTGCACAGGCACGGGCATGTGCCCCTCTAAGTGCCACTATTGCTTTGACATGTTGACCATAACATTTCCCCTTGACAACACATGAATCATGTACTGTATCGTGTACATGTCGGGCATCGACTATAATCATGTGAAAGCAAGTAAAAAGTGTCCCGACATGATACTTGCCACTTGCGCTCCCGCATACCCTACAAACAACCTGTGTGCCTATAATTATATGAACCACGGTCCTAAATGGCCAGGTTGCATTATTTATATGGCATGGCATTCTACACTGCGGGACGCCCAGTGATTGTGTGTGTGATTACCTTAATTCTGAGTAGTGTTGGAGTTGAAATCGAGACGACATGGCAACAGCTGGTCAGCTGGGACCACGAATGCATGCAGCCTGACCCGCGAACCCAGGCCAACACGGATTCTACACTAAAACTTATCACAACTGGACGCAAGCGGCGATTAGCAAAACATACCCATAGTTTCAACCTTTCAAATCGGAAGGCTGTTGGAGTGCGCATGCAAGACTTGCTAGAGCTGATAACCACTTACACGTTCATGTAGCTGCAGAACGTCAGTACCGTCGGTCAGTGTTGTGCAATGTTATCGCATGAGCTGATTATAACTGGTAGTGTTTGTGGACATTATTATTATCGTAACTTGTAGTTCCTTGGTTCTCTTAATCCTTGGCTCTCCATCCGAGTCTATCCATGGTTTCAAAAAAAATATTTTTTTTGGAATTTTTAGACTGACAATAATTTATATTGCTAGTGTCGCTCGTGGAGGAGCAGAGCAAGCGCTGAGGACAGTCAGCCATTTGCAACGTTCATGAATTCAAACCATCTGTGGTTCGCAGTCCCGTGCTGCGGACAACAATGTGAATAAGAGGCACTGCCTCACGCTGCTGCATGGAGTTCGCGAAGTGTTTGTCTCGCTGAAAACGGAGGGTCACTGTAAGCATAGTATCCCTGTTGTGCTACCGATAATTATGTGTTGCCTTTATCACTGATGATATGGCATGAACGTATATTACATAAATTATAGTATAATTTTTATTAATTTACTGAAAACTTTCAAAATGTTGAGCCTGAAGTGTGTTCTACTTCTCGGTAGTGAAGTATAATCCTTTATCACTTGCAAAGATGCTGCATGCTTTCTGAGTTGTAAACACATCAATCGGTTGCTCTTGGTTATGCTCAATACTTGAGTGACGACACCCTCTGAAGATAGTCGCGAGAAGGCCTTCTGGTGAATTTAACCACAAACACACACACGCACGCACCCACGCACGCATGCACACATACACACACACACGCACACACACACGCGGTTTTAGTAACAATGAAAGAGGGAGACGGAAGAATTGGAATCAAAGAGGGGAAGACAGAGAGGGATAAAATGTACGAGGTATATTAAAGGGAATAACGAAACACGGGGAGTTGAAATCTAAACAAATTGATTATCCTAAACCGCGTAATTGAACATCCATTTGAATAATTAGAGAGAAAAAGGTAGAATGTACTTCGAGGAATGAAGCAGAAAGAGCTGGGGCCAAAATGTGTTAATGAGTAATGGGAAGGAAACAAATGGGAAAATGAGGAGAAGAGATGAGAGGTGGAGACTTATCATTGAATATTGATTGTTCATTGAGCCCCGTAAGAAATGTCTTGATGTTCAGTTTCGGCAAGATCGTCCAGTGAAAATGTCAAGAGTGATTTGTGTGTGTGTATGTTCGTTTGTGTGTGTGTGTGTGTGTGTGTGTGTGTGTGTGTGTGTGTGCGTATGTGCGTGGGTGTGTGCTCGAGTGTTTGTATGTATGTACTGGCATGGATGAGTATGTGTGTGTGTCTGCGTGTGTGTGTGTGGTTGGCGTTCTTCTGGAGCAGCTTCGTGACATCGTTCAAGATCGACAGGGATGGCGGGTCACCTGCCATGACGCTGTCGACCCTATTGTCCAGTCCCCCATGGAGCCTGTGGTGAAGCCCCTTATCTGTGGCACTTGTGCGCGCAGTTTTCGTCGGCCACAGGATATTGCGAGGCACAAGTGTAACGCTGTTCGCGCGGCCCGCGCGCGCTGAGTATGGCGTTCCCCACCCGGTGCACAACAAGTCTCTTGGCCTGCCCCGTATAGGGCCACATAGCCAGTCACGGCAGTGGAAGAAGGAAGGAAGGAAGAGGTGTGTGTTGCTATTCCTAACCCAACTTGTTCACGTTCCCACCCTAAATCAGGGCAGTTGTCAGTGCAAGTGTTAGTGTAAGTGCAAGTGCAAGTGTGCATGTGTGCATGTGTGGATGAGTGCATGCGAGCAAGCGTGTTAGAGTTGGGGGGGGGGGGGGTTGGGGGGTGGGGTGAGAGACAAAAGGTGAAATGCACCATGCAAAACTTCCCTGCATTACAGTCAATGGGAGGATAAAGGTTAATTAACCTAGAAATCAGGGAGTGGAAATGCACGTAACGTGAAACTAAAAACTGTGTTAATATGGTTTGGTACTAATTGATGGTACCATACACTCCATCGTCCTCCTCTTTGACAGAACTGAAGCTACGCTCGATGAATTCCTCTTGAGCCTCATTTGGCTCTGGTAGGTCTGCATATATATCATCTACTGATGTAGTGGACGTCGGGATGTTTCTAACTGGCAATGGCTGTAGCTGCTTCATTTCGTTAGATATTGGGGCTGGCGTCTTTTTGCCAACAGCGGCACTGAAGCCTGCAGCACTAGACGAAGCTCTCGACACAGTGCTTCCTGGAGGTTTTGTGTCGCCTTGGGGTACTGCCGAAATCAAACTGTTCGCGCCTGCATGAGATGAGGTGCGTTGACGTTGAACAGGTACGTTTCCTGTCGACACCTGACCCTGGCCATCACTGAGAGCTAGGCACGCATTAGATGGCTGCAGAGACTTGTCAGATGTGGGATATTGATCAGGTAAGTTTCCAGGTGCATCACCAAAATTGGAACTCTTTCTAGTTGCTGTTGCTGAAACATTTGGAGTCTGATTAGGTCCCATGTTCAGAGTTTCCTCCGCCTTGCCACCATCTTGCTGTGAATTGACCCCTGAGGCCTGAAATGAATCCCTCGTTGATACCTCGGTGCAGGACAGTTCAGCACTAACACGACGAGAACCATTTGGTGATGGTGCGTTTCCATAGGTCAAGTCGTCGGTAGCCGCTTCTTCGGACAACCCTGCTGGGGTACTGGCGTTACCGCTAGCATTGGGAGTTTCATAGGTCATGTCTTCGGTAGCCGCTTCTTCGGACAAGCCTGCTGAGGTACTGGCGTTACCGCTAACATTGGGAGTTTCATAGGTTGATAAGTGGTGAATATCTAGGCCATTTCCAGCATTACTTTCTCCCATCTGAAAACGTGCGCAATTGTCCTCAGAGAAAGTCACTGTGGAAATGCCACCGGCACAGAAGTCTACACTGTTCGCGAATGAGGTCTGGAGCGAGTTTCCATTGGCCTGGCCTGATTCCCTGTTGTCGTTGCCAACCAAACTGTTGTTCCGTGAGGCCTCGCGCGACTCTGCATTTCCATATATATACTCAGTGTCGGCAGGATCAGTGGAACTCTGTCCAAACACTGTTGTCAGAACATGAGAGTTCAATTTTAGTTCCTTGTTCAGATTGTCGTATGCAAGAATACTGTTGCCTGTAATCGAATGGTCTGGTTTCAGGGGTGACAAGTTCCCGGACGATTTCAGTGCCATGTTGAAATTGACGGCTTGGCCAATTTCACAGCATGATACCCTTGGAGAATCCGCATTGCCATACATACACATGCTGCTCTTGCGCGATCCAGGGCAAGAATCGCCGTTGCCGTAGGTTGTGTCGAGATCTTCCAGTGTTGCCAAGCCAGTGTCAACTAGTTTCTGCTGGGTACTTTGTGTTGTTTTGTTTTGGTCGGCAACCTCATAAATGTCATTGCATAGACCTTGCACACCTGCTTCCTCATAGACATCATTTCCATCTTTAGCAGGCAACATAGTATCAGTACTGTAAGATGATGTTTCAGAGTATTTATTCGCAAGATTATGATATACACGGCTTCGAGGGTCCTGAGGGCTTGGTTGTCCCTTCTTCGCCGGCTCTCGGTTCATATACGTTCCACCTTGCTGTTCAGAAACATGACCAGTTAGTTCACTTCCAGATTGGCCAGGATTGTAGATACCCTTGAGGGGCATAGCGACACAACTTTCTTCTGGTCCTTCAGGCTGCTCTTTGCCCAACCCAATGTCATATGCTGTAATGAAGAATCACAAGAGAAAAAATAGATTTTAAAATGGAAATTGAACTCGGTTGGTGATCCGATGTAATCATGGATAGAGAGAGAGAGAGAGAGAGAGAGAGAGAGAGAGAGAGAGAGAGAGAGAGAGAGAAAGAGAGAGAGAGAGAGAGAGAGAGAGAGAGAGAGAGAGAGAGAAAGAGAGAGAGAAAGAGCGAGAGAGAGAGAGAGTTAGAGAGAGAGAGAGAGAGAGAGAGAGAGAGAGAGAGAGAGAGAGAGAGAGAGAGAGAGAGAGAGAAAGAGAGAGAGAAAAAGGGAGGGAGAGAGAGAGAGTTAGAGAGAGAGAGAGAGAGAGAGAGAGAGAGAGAGAGAGAGAGAGAGAGAGAGAGAGAGAGAGAGAGAGAGAGAGAGAGAGAGAGAGAGAGAGAGAGAGAGAGAGAGAGAGAGAGAGAGAGAGAGAGAGAGAGAGGGGGGAAGAGCATGTGGGGAAGCCGAACGAATTCAACAATGCTGCCGGTGAGGTAGGGAGAGAGAAAAAGAGAAAGATTTGCAACCAAATATCCTCACTGTGTTGATGTCTGATGATTAAAAGAAGAAGAAACAAAAGGGCTGGACAGTGTCTGTGTAATAAACTGGAGGATGCGATCTTCGCTACACAACGGAAGTTTAGTCCAAAAATGGGAAAAGGAAAAACTACGGCAGCAAACATTACTTACATGAAGTGAGCAACTTTGCGTTTTGCTGCCGTTGATAAACGAGAACAGCAGCGGCAACAACCGCCCCTCCAACACCCAGTATAGTAACGGACACCAAAACTGCAGTTGAACTCTTGGAACCAGAGCCAGTTTCTCCCGAACCTGCAGGTTCCAAAGAACACAATGCAATGCAAAACCACTCTTTTTTCCGTCAGATTTTTACAATTTTCAACTCCCTGAACATTATGAACAGACATATTGACTCGATTATTGAAAAAGATTTTATATGGAATCGATTGTCGTAAAGTTTGTTGCACACGCTCGTGTCGCAGCAAACACCCACCCCAGCTGGCCCTTTCTATTTTCGTCTTGTTCAAGTCAAAAAAGCTGCACAAAGCTGTCATGAAGTTGCTATAATAAATATTATACCGCTTGCATGTCTTCATTTCTGTACATTTCCCCATATAATTTCCTTCATCTTTCTGTGAGAAACGGACCTATGGGCCGGTGAGAAGGCAATCATGCCTGTGCAATTAGTGAAGTAAAATAGAAGTCAACAGCAACGGCAGCAACATGAAGATTGAATGTGCATGAAAACAACCGTACTGTCTACGAATTGCTTATGTCTTGTCAGGAGGCCCTGCACAAGAAATAGACCACTTGCCCTTTGTGCAGATCCACGAAATCCCGTAGAATCCCATAGACCCTGTAGGGTGTTCATTGTGTGCTATGCATGCTCATTCGACCTTTTTAGCGTCATAATTCAATGACCAGCAATCGCTTTTCCAGCGTCTTCACTTTGGTTAGAACTAATGACTAGCTACCACCGTTAGGCGCTGCATCTGCCGCTAGGGTTTACCGGGTGTTAGCGGCCGTCGTGAGTTCCCTTCGGGAACGGACACGATCATTTACTTTTGTTTAATGACTAGCTAGATCTTTGTCAGCAAAAGGTTTTCGAATGAATTGCCTTCAGGCCCCATTTCTTAGTGGAAATGGCAGAAAACACAATAGGGTCCTGCACATTCAATACCCTACCACGTCTACGGGATTCTGCGGGATTTCCTGGATCTGTACAAAGGGCAAGTGGTACATTGTCATTATCCTGCATCAAACTACCACTACAGTCGAGATTTCTCTTTATTCGAAATGAGTCGTCTTTGTGTGAGTTTGCACGCCATTTGTAGAGCCTCAAAACAAGGCGGACTCAAACATACCAACATTCTGCAGCTGTTGCACTACCGATGTTGGGATGGTAGTTCTGAAACTTCTGTAACTGAGTCAGTACCCTCGACTAGTCCCCGCCAACTAGTCAGCACAGCCTCGGCCACACGCTCACTTGTGCTCTGTACCCCGCCTTGACGGAGAACCGGGTGAACAACCAGTCGAACAGCTGCAAGTCTCGACACCACGCTGACCGTCACTCAGCTCTCAACCATCGCTCCATTCCCTTCTGCGGTCCACTTGATTGTTAAAGGAGAATTTTTTACTTATCTTCTCTCGTTACGCACAATTATGTTGTTGTCGCGTTCTTAGGGAGCGGCTTATACAAATGCTGGATAATCTTGCTTGGCAATGCCAATGGGGAAGGAGCCTATACAGTCAGACCTCGCTTGACCGAAAACATTTCCTCAGAACAATAGCGGGATAGGCGAGGGAACGAAATAACCAATATAAAACACAATTTTTTCTCATCTTTTTCTATTTCTTGTTTTTCATTAGCTTTAGCATGTTCATTCACATTCTTCATCATTTGTGAGAACTAGACCTGGTCTAGTGAGAAGGCATTCTACTGCCTGTAATTCTGGTGAAGTAAAATAAAGTAACAATAACAACAACCGAATGCCCATACTTTATGCATGTGGCACATCATCAGGTGTAACATTGTGTGTACATGTACATGTGTACCGTGCAGTACAGTTGGCATGCATACCAGTACTCCGTAGAGCAAGCGAGAAAAAAATGGCAAGTAGCTTAGTGCTGTAAGCAGGCAGGCAGCAGCTCACTGAGTCATGCAAACCCTTTCTTTGGTTTTTGTAAAACTCCCGTTCTGGGGTCTGCTTGTCACTTGGATGCCAGATGTGACAGGAGTTTGTGTACACGTTTGAACCAGTTTGTACACAAATCCATTATGCCGGTATGCGGATCCTGGAGGTGGTTATGTTGCATGCCAGTCACGTATACTGAAAAATCAGTTACCAATGGTATTCTTCCGGATGGCGAGGGAACCGGGCAAACGAGGTCTGGCTGTATCTACAGTAATACAGCACAGTAGCAACTTTTTTATAGTCCACATTGCATTTGTACTTACTATTACTGTTGCAAATAGGCATTTGTAGAGTTCCATCGGCACTGCACATTGCTGTTGCAGATCCATTCATTCTATAACCAGTATTACACGTGTAGTTCACACGCTCAAGGTAGGACACCATGGCCTTGTCCGCAATGCCGTTCATGAGTATTTTCACTGTGCAAATAACCACTAACAGCGCAGAAACGAAGAAGGATGCTGGGAAAAGGAAGTGAAAACTGCCTCCCCTAGCGAGTCATGATAACAAGTGTTCTGCTCTATTTCGCACGCCCAAGTGTAAAACTTGTCTAAAATAAAGGTAATTCCATTATCATGGGAAGCTATAGGGTGGAGATAGCGAGCAGTGGATGGTTAATGAACAGCCCAGCTAAGAATTATTTTTCTGGTCAACAAGTTGCTTTGATCAGGGATAGGATGCAGTAGTGATTGGTGTGAAACATCATCGTGTCTGACAGACCGAAGCTGATTCCCTATCCCGACCCGATGATTTTCTTCTTCAATTTATCATACCTAGTTTGGGTCTCCTTTATGAGCATAATATGTGTGCAAGCCGATCTCTCCGATTGCGCTCAAAGTTTGCAGGAAGATTCCCTTTGGAGTCTAGATCGACTGTGCAAAGCCCGAGAATAAGTTTCTGAAGGGAACCTTGAACCTTGCCTGAATGCGGGCAGGGCGATAGTGCGGGTTCGAATCCTAGGTCATGTCTTGAAAAAAAAACCCTTGGCCAGCAATCGAGGCCATCTGAGAGTTGTAATTTTTGTTCTCCTCTGAGGTGTGATTTTTGGCGTGCTGGGCCAAGCACAAGGAAGCCATCTGCCAAAAAATGAAGAAAACGGTTGTTGTTTGATCCTTTGTAGCTAGTCGAAGGAAGTTGCTGTTTGGAGCAGAAACGCTGAAATTGACTATTTTCTGCATGTACTCATGCATGTACTCATGTACTCAGGCATGCAGTCTCATTCGTATTTCAGCTCCTTTTCTGGAATGGATGCTGCTCTGGGCCCCTTGGTGAACATTTCCTGCGCTCGTGGAGCAGTTGAGAAGGACCACTGGTATGTCTGGTTCCTGGTTTGAAAGTGGAGAGTCGACTTTTGTGCCTTGAAAAAGGAGTAGAGAGTGATAAAGGTACGTCTGTAGCTTATTTTGACTGCTGCTTGTACATTTTTGATCGTGATAGAAAGTCTCAGACCAAAGTCAGCGCGAAGATAGCCGTACAGTTTTTTTGTGGATTTTTAGTTGTTCCGTCTCGTATCTATGTCAGTATCTTGATGGTGAAGTGAACAGGGTGATTTTCTTCCTCTGGGCTTCGTTCGGCCGACTTTGCTTCGTCCTCGTTGAAAAGTGATGCTGAAAAAAGGTCGATTAGCATAATTATGTTGATTTTGAATGTACATGTAAGTGATGAAACATTTATAACATCCTTTTGCTTTTTTTGCCTAGGTCATGAAGATGGTGGACGGTGTTATATTACCCTCGAATGCAAAGAGAAAGTTTATTTCTTTCGCTCAGGGCCCTACTCTATGCTTTTCTGCCTAGCTCTTCGAACAGATGGAAATGTTCTGCAATACAATGATGTAGCAGATCAGTTCATTGTGGTATGGTTGGGCATTGTAGCCGTCATGGTCGATGTAAAACACTATAAGACTGCAACGAAGTTGGCGCCAAAGAGAAAGCTTGTATAACTCAATACTTTCTGCAATTACTTTTGCCTAACTCATATTGAAACTGATTGAAACGTTTTTGCAATACAATGATGTAGCCAATCAATGGAAAAACACATTGCCTGCAGTTCTAATAACATGCATGGTGAGCTAGGCAAAACAAGCCCTGAGATTCCAAGCTCTCTACTTTATGGATCTAGAAATGAGTCACACCACAGGGTACAAAAACAAGATACGAACAAAACTCCATCAAACCAACATTCCTCATCTTAGAAGAGTTCCTGGAGCAGTACCGCTTAGCATCCTAGGATACGAGGGCCATCGCCCCTTTACACCCCAAATGATCATCTTGATAATATCCAGTGTACAAGCGCCGATAAAACTATGAGCTACGTCTCCAATTAGCAAGAACTATACACCGGCAGATAGTAGAGCACATCTTCTTTCTAGCACTGGGGACATGTCCCCCATCTTTGTTCTTGGGTTATCTTGAAATAAACTTTTTGACTTTTTCCTTTCCACCATGCTGAAATACGGCCAAAGTCATACTTGCGCAGGAAAGCTCACCACTGCACCCCTCCCCCCTTCGCGACGTCTCCTCAGTAATTTCTACTCCCACACTACCCAATGCTGCAGAACAAAGTGTATTGTTGACTCTGACAAGGATAAGCATCGGTGATCACTTGTCACTCAAGACGAGAAGCTTCTCCTTGCAACCGTTGAGTCCTGATTCCTGATGACGAAAAGTATGTTGTTACTCCGAGTTTCACAAACTAAGTGATCACCAGAAAACAAGCATAGCTTTCTGTATAGTTTACATCATTTGCACTTACTGTTGCAAGTAGGCATTTGTATTTGTAGAGTTCCATCAGCACTGCACATTGCTGTTGCAGATCCATTCATTCTATAACCAGTATTACACGTGTAATTCACACTCTGAAGATAGGACACCATTGTCTTGTCTGCATTGCCATTCAGGAGTGTTGGCACTGTGCAATTTACGACTGGAAGAACAAGAACAAAGACAAAATTGATGTTGGAGAAAGGACGCTTGGAATGAAAAAAAGGGTACAAGATTAAAAGGGTGGTAAACAATAATTCTGTGAAACCAGCTCTAGATGAATTACTCTGTCTCAACTACAGTAAAACCTGTGACTAACGACCACCCCTTGGTGCCAGGAAAAGCGGTCTTCAGTAGCACGTGGTGTTTAGTTCGAGGTTTGCACCCCGCGACCATATATGTATCCCATTATATGATAGGTATGTCAAAATGCAGCTAATACCTCCAGGACTTGCGCAACACCATTCTTATTTCAGGCCCAACAACAGACAGACAGACAGACAGACAGACAGACAGACAGACAGACAGACAGACCGACAGACAGACAGACAGACAGACAGAGAGCGAGAGAGAGAGAGAGAGAGAGAGAGAGAGAGAGAGAGAGAGAGAGAGGGAGAGAGAGAGAGAGAGAGAGAGAGAGAGAGAGATAGAGAGAGATAGAGAAGATTAATTTTTGGCAGACATCAAATTCAGCTGCTTCTTCTGAAACCAGGAGTCAAACGTTCCCTGTGGAAGTTTCGTTTTGCGCTGAGCTTCAAATTTGTCCATGCGATTAATTGTACCGACTGTCCTTGTGACTTCTCGATTGCTTGAACGCGATCCTTCAGCATCAGGACCTTGTACTTCTGCTTTGTTTCTGGATTCATTGATGTCATCGATGATTCGCCTGTATGATTGGGGTGACAGAGCCGCTCAGTCTTCTTTTCTCCTCCAAGTAGTAACATCGATCAGAGAGAGAGCATTCGATGCGCTCTCCAAGACGTTCCCTATCATATTTATTCCTGAGAGCGCTGGAAAATTATTTCACAAGTGTTGTGCAGTCCACACCGACTCCACAGTCAAAATGACGTTCCCTATCACATTTATTCCTGAGAGCGCTGGAAAATTATTTCACAAGTGTTGTGCAGTCCACACCGACTCCACAGTCAAAATGACCTGCGTGTATTTTATTTGTTCAGCTTTAGTATCGAACGATTCCTTTCTATTCAGGACCATGGAAAACCAGCAAAATTTCAAGAAGGAGCTTCGAGCAATATTCGATTTCCTACATCGCGCTCGCTAGTTACGGGTCAAAAATCGTCTTTGGGACAAGAAAACACGGTCGCTGGTCGCGTTCAGCAGGTAGTCGCTAGTCATAGTGCATATGTGAATGTGAGAACGTCCGTACCTGACAAAGTGGTCTGTAGTACCAGGCTGATCGCTAGTCACGGTGGTCTTTAGTTACAGGTTTTACTGTATTGGCAAATGATACCTATATATTTTTGAATGAGTTACACTCGATACTGTCGATTGCCACAGGCTACTGTCCGTAAAGGCTTCTATTGTTGAACCTGACGACTTACACCTGATCCACAATCTACTGCTTTCGACAACTGTGGTCGTCAAGTTGGAGGGATCGACCTCTCAGCGCCTGAGCAGCACCGTTGGCTAAACCACAGGGTGATGGACTCAGTCCAATATTGTTTCTGTGTTATCTCGAAGCAGCTATGAAGCAGTGCTGTCAGCAGCTGCCAGCAAAACGGATCAGTGATGGTGACATTCCGAGTGAGACCGGCTACGCCGGCGACGTTGTGCTATACAAGACGAGAAACATTGGTTGTGCGATTCTCTTCCATTCATCAAGGACGTATTTGATAGCTAATCGCTAACCCTGAACACGAAGAAAACAGAGTGCATTCAGCTAACCCATGATGATGACACTTGGCCATCCTCTCACCAGCTCGGATCACTCCTAGGCGACAAGGAGGATTGTGAGCGATGAATGAGGTTGGCATCAACTGCCAGGGACGTGTCGCACAGGAATGCGCCAGGCTTTTCGACTCGACACGACCTGGACGAGCTGTCCATTATGGCCCCGGATCGAGAAGCTTGAAGAGACTTTTAATCACGGAGTGAAGAGCGCGTACGGGGCGATCTCTAGGCGATGAACAGCAGCTGAACCATGTGTTGCACAGTAATATTATACTTATTGTATAAATGGATATTGTACGCCATCTGTGACATGTTTTTATTATTGTACTGCACTGCGATCCATCAACAACGACCTGAAAAATTCCAGATCCACAAACTCCCTCACATCACACGAGGATCTAGTTGCACTGAGGCAGCTCGCCCAGGATCGTCGAAAGTGGAAGGAACTAATGTGTGCTGTGTGTAATGGCTGAAGTTATACAATTACACTAGATACCCTTAACAATAATAACGGATACAATTACACTAGATACTAGATACTCGGTACTCTAGATACTAGATACTCTAACAATTTTATCAAACATTATGATAATTACCACATCAAATGCTGCGGAGACCTATCCAGAATCGGCAATATGCTGGCCCTGGCCTGGAGATCTGCAACTATAATCAGCTTCTACTTTGCAACACTAACGAATTAGTCCCCTTTGTCGATTGATGGATCAATCGGTAGATTCGGCTCTGTTTTTCTTTCCTTTCTTTTTTGTTTTGAATTGTACGTTGAACTCATTGGATTTCTTTGTATTCTGTATCTCGTTATCGTTATATTTCCCTCTAGCCCTCTCGCTAAGGATGAGCTTTCTTTTTTATGGCAGCTTAAGCGAAGGCTATATACCTGCTTTATGCAGGTTGATGCCAACGCGAACAAGCAAAATAATAATAATAATAATAATAACTGCACAAAAGCAGAAGAGAACAGAGACAGCTGGCTAGGTCATTGTTGCCTGTAATGCTCCATCCTTGTGGTGTTGAGCACTCTAGGCAATCTGGAAACTATCGCTTTTTGCATTATTGTACTCCAAGGTATGAGGGGGCGGGGGGGGGGGGGCAATGGTGAGAGATGTTTGGAACACATATCTTTGAAAAAGTGGTGTCTATTCCAGGAATGAAACCAACTCACTGTTACAGACAGGTTTCAGCTCTGTCAAAGTTCCATTCTCATTGCAAGTTGCTTCTTCAGATCCATTTATACTGTAACCAGTGTCACATGTGTAATTCACTTGTTGAAGGTATGACAGAACTTTCTTGTCACCACGGCCATGGGCGATAGTTGGCGCAGTACAATTGACAACTAGAACGAGATAAAGACATAAATTGTGCGAGACAGGTGGAGAAAAGAAGAAGATGAATGGTCGCAGAAACAGCTTGCTGCATTATGCAAGACAATGAACTTAAAGCTTTTTTAATTCCAGCACTCTACACACATCTGCCATTTCTTCAGCCCCAGCTCCCTCCTCTGGCAGGAGCTGCCAGATAACCCTGCACAAGATGGCAGTCTTAGCAGTTGGAAGGCCACAATCAGCTGCTCAGCATTCCCCTCCATCCATGCTCCAACACTGCGCTACTACTAACCTTCCCATACGGCTTCGTGCCTACCTGGAATTCCCTACCATCTGCAGTTCTCAGCAAAACACCGTGCCACAGCTACCAGCGCAAACGTGGAGGTCGTCAAGTTCACAGTTTGAGCAAAAAACATGGTGATGGCCAAATCGTGTCGTGGCAACTTGTAATGGCTGCGGAACAAAAGCTGGTGGAGGCGAAAGTCAGCGAGAATGGCGACTCGACGTCTTCGACCAGTAAGTCGTCATCAGATTCAGACAAATACTGAAGCTGGACCGATTTGAAACGAGCTGTGTGACATATGTAAATAACTGTCTCTCATATGCTGCTTTGTTTTCCACTTTGCAAAGCGTGTTGGTAGCCGTAGAATGCTTTGCACTGAACTGTAAAAATTAGGGGTGAAAGTTGGCACTGAGATCCAGTGTTCGAGGACTCTGATTTTCTCTGTCAAGTCAAGTGGGCGGAATGGAGCGAGCTCCAGTGTGGAGAGCAAACCTTTTTTTACTAATCATCGCCGAAGTCGCAACCACTATTTCGTACTGTTGTGCCCAGCGCGGGCTTGCGACTAGTTGGTTTGGAGGTGACAGCGTTGTGAATGACTGAGGGTTCTGAGAATGTCTAGAACGTCTGTTCTCATCGTCCAGGAGCAACACTGACTCACGCTGCTATCTGTTGTTCACGAGGTGTTTGTCGCGCTGGAAACGATGCATCTCTGTAAGTTTGTATCCCAGGTGATGTTTGTGCCTGGAGAGCACTATATAAGTGGTGCTCTTCAGGCACAATCTTCCTCAGCCTATTCAAGCTCAACTGATGAGCGTTGATTTCCGCGAAACACTGTGTGTTTCGTAGTGAGTGGTGGTTTCTTGCAAGTTTGCCGAGTCGAAGGCTCGATGGACTTCTTGTGTGCTCTGGATGGCAGTCGTGAGTCTGTCAAGTGTAAAGTCAAGTCGGCGGAATAGCGCTCCGGTGTGGGGAGCAAACATTTTCCTGCAAATCTTCGCCGAAGTCGCAACCACTATTTCGAAATATTTACCATACCTATGGCGAAAAAAGAAGAAGGATAAAATAATACGAGTTATGGCTAACTGTCCACCAACGTAACCAGATCTTATACAGTCAGCAAGTGCGACAAAAATGGCACAAAACTGGCAAGGAGGACTGAGACATTCGGCGACATGACAAGTAGCTCCAACACTTCTCCAAGGCACATACCAACAAACTTCCAAATTGGAAGGCTCAGGTTTAGAAAGGTCCAAGAGGGGAAGGAAAGCGCAACGAAGAAAAGCACGAGCTACGCATCACGGCAACGAAGAAGAGCACGAGGCACGCATCACGGCAACAAATAATGCCGAAAGCTACTGGATGATGACGAAGCTAGTAAGACTATTAGACATGCCGGCCTTACTACAATTCGACTTGTCAGTTTTGTGCCATTTTGTCACGCTCGCTGACTGTATCTCTTAATTTGCTAAATCCTATATATAGGATTTTGGTCATATTTTTCAACTCAAAATGGGTGTGGCATGAGAATAGCAAAAAGTATGTGACCAATTCTTCCTTGCTAGGTCTTATTAGATATCGAGAGTTGAACAAAATAATTTTTTAAAACACTAACATCTCAGGCTCATCTCCTTGCCCAGTATTACTAAGGCCTGTGCCCTATTTTTCGAATCCTATATATAGGATTTGAGATTCTATTGGACCTTGTTTTATCCTTAAAACTGGTAGTTTCATGACGGCATGTGCGATATGTCGTCATGAAGCCACCCCGTACCACACCTGCAATGTTCTTCTGCACATTCACTGCTTCAGTCCTTTCCATGACAGCAGCTGAACAATTATGCTCAAATTTCCAATTATTGCGGAAAATAGGTATTCATCAGAAATATTATCACCCTATGAATCTAAAATGTAAACATTCATGCCTCAAACATATTTACAACTACCATGAAAACCATTATGCTGTTATTATTGGTCGTGATGACCAATAACAATGGCATAAAAGGCACACATTTTCAAATCCTATATATAGGATTTTCGGCCAGCAAATTAAGAGATAAGATCTGGTTACGCTGGTGGACAGTTAGTCGTAACTCGTAACATTTTGTCCTTCTTCTTTTTTCACCATAATTTAACCCTTTCACTCTTGACCGGCTAAGCTTTCAGCGCACCTACTTTCCTTTCAAACCATGCATGCACGTCGCCGAGCAAAGTGTTTCGCCATTTTCGCATTGATTGATACATTTTAGAACACGTTAGAATACGATCTATAGCTTGTTGGAAAGGCCTGAGCCAAGTGAAGACTTCCTGGCAGTTCTGTGCTCCATAGGCATTCCAAGGCCACTTATATGTGCTCTAGAAGATGCCCTTACATGTCTCAGAATCGCCAAACAGCTTCATAATACATGTCCGTTCGCCATCTCTCTCAAACTAAACGAAACTGCACGATTCAAACTTTGCTGCAAAGCTGAGATCCAAGCGCTTTGTTTGAACCCCAACACCCATGCGCTGTAGCAAAGGGAAATCTCCTAGAAAAAGTGAGTCGCGAACAAAAAGTTTGAACTGATGGCCAGAAAGCGTACTTTTATTTTTTTGCAATTCTACCCCTCACCGGTCACTCAAACCTAGTCCTATCGCGCAGAACTTCACTGGAACGCTGAGCTCAACACCTTTCCAACGATATATCGCTTGTGAAAATCGGTCGCCGTTGACATTAGTTACGACAGTTTGTCCAGTGATATATGCACTCGTACTATTGCGTGGGCTGTGGAGCGAAATATCTCCTCACCCGCCGCTCAGCCACACTTTGCAGAGCGAGATATCTCGTCGTTAGCACTGAAAGTAATTTACATTACTTAGTTTCCATTTCCTTGGTCTTTCTCTTTTGTATAGTTTACATTATTTTCTACTTACTGTTGCAAATAGGTAGTTGTAGAGTTCCATCAGCACTGCACATTGCTGTTGCAGATCCATTCATTCTATAACCAGTATTACACGTGTAGTTCACACTCTGAAGATATGACACCGTTTTATTGTCTGAATTGCCATTCATGAGTGTTGGCACTGTACAATTTAAAACTAGCAGAACAAGAATAAAGAAGGACATTAGAGAACGGAAGTGACATGCTGTCCGTCCTGAACTGCAATGATTGTATTTGTATGTATGAGACCCAAGCACCCAGCAGACATAGTGAGTTGGTCTGTGTCCATGAATGAGAGATGATGGGTGATGTCAAGTGTAGTCCTGGATAAACAGACTGAAGATAACCGTCTACCCATACCAGATATTTGTCTTCTTGCATCTTGACTACGTTCTTCCTTGGGTTTTAACTACACGTTTGCAGGCACTTGACAACACTCAAGAAAGCACTGCCTTTTCCCGGTTTGGGGAATTATGGTTGTGGTCATAGATGTGTGTGTTAGGCCCACAAGTAATTACAATTTGGGCCATCCAAAGCAAAAACAGACCTAACGGGTCAAATTTTGGAAAATTGTTTTTGATTTGAATTTGTTTATATGGACATAGTGAACCTCTGTACAAAATTTCAGGCTGATACGACACATAAATCATGCTTAAATTCACTGTATTATGTCTTGGGGTCCATATTCTACTATCGCAAACAGTATTTTCATCTTTCACCGTTGTTTGTTCCACATACACGTTGTTTTCTAAGCCCAGGTTGCTTCTTTGCCTTGGGTAAGGTAGGGCAGTACTTCCTTGTAGAGGTAGGAGCAGCGCTGTTGCGACGATCCACCGGGCGCAAGGATGGCAGGGCGACAAGCTGGAACGCCAGCATTGGCTTTCAATAAGTTTTTCTTAAATTCAGGACCATCGCAGATCTCGCGCACCCACACTGTTCCCTTCTCACCCGATGCTGAGAATCGGAAATGCTGATATTGAGTGATGCTTCGGAGAGGTAGGAAGCTCTCACTGAGATGCGAATCCCACTCCCTCCAAGACCAGGTGAACCGCTGCGCAACGTTGGGACCGCAGGAAGAATTGATGACGTCTTCCAAGTCATCTGCAGTGTCAACGACGCTGGTACGGAATTTTTGCTTGATAAGACCAAACCTGCCGTCAACGACACAACGAGTGTGGCCCACCTTCATGAAAGAAAGCTCAACAGAATCGAAAATTTTGTTGCCGACAAGCCAAGAGAGGTAAGCTAGAACAGTCTTGTTCTTGTTTTGCCCAACACAGTTGTCAGCATGCAGGTGAAGGCTTCTTTCATTCCTGGACAATTTCGTGTCAATGTTATGGTCCAGCATGCTGACAGGTGCATTGGGCCCATGAGCGTGCTTGCCGTCTGCTCCAATGCACTCACCCTCGTGGAACATGTAGTTCGTTTGTCTTTTGCAGCCTGCGTCCGATATTCCAAAGAGTTGGCAACGAAACCCAACTTTGAAATACAAAGGTCCCACCTGCCGAAAGTGATAGGGTAGCTCAACTTGCTGCTCAAAGTCAAATGTTAGGTGAGTGAGCTCAGGTGCATCAGGATTATCTTCGTACTCAGCAGCAGCGGTCGACAGCATATCGTTGTAGTACTCGCGCTCATCTGTAGCTGTGGAGAGATGCATGTTGAGCTTCTTGGCAAAGTCTTGCATCTCCTCCTCCTTTTTGGCATGCTTGCATGAGTCACGCAAACGTTCACACATTGCACATACATCTGTTTGTGGCTTTATAAACTCCACATCAGAGCACTGATTGACCCAAGTCCTTCTGAAAACTTCATAGGACACTGCATAATCTTCCTCACACTCTGCATAACACTTGTACACAAGGAGCTTGGACAGTGATGCTGGCAGGTATGTTGGGGCTACTCCTGCTCTGCCCCGTGGTGCAGCTGGCTGTGGCATCCCATGGACGGGTGCATACTTCCTAATGAATGTCACAACACGTTCAGTAACATCCGCAGGAGTCACATTCACAGGCGATTTGCCAGCCAAGCCATGCAAGGGTAGTTCTGCTTTCGCATCTTCCACAATGCCCTGTAGCGACTTCAGCATGTAAGGACTGAGACCAAACACATCGAGCACCACAGACTGACAAACCTCAGATCCCAGCAGTGAATACGAATAGTGGTGTCGCGTGAAGGCAGGTTCAGAGCGAAGCGCAGTTGTCAGTACGCCCACGATGATTACTTTTTTCGCTTTCTTTCCCAGCTGCTTCGCGCTGAACATAAGCTCTTCCAGCAGCTTGGGCGACAGCGATTCGTAGTGGTTCTTGCCCTTACAGCTGCAGCCGGATGATTTCAGGTCTCGAATATCTGCAGCGATTAGGGCACGTTCTTGATCTGGTGATCCCTGCCCTGTCGCGCCGGCGCCGTCATCGCTGTCGGAAGCAGCGGAAAGTTCGCTGTGTACAGACTCACTGGAATCGCCGCTGAGGGTTTCTCCATAGTCGACGCGTTTTTTTCTGTAACTCGATGCTGCTATCACTGTCAGATGAGTCATCTGAGTGCTCCTCCGCGGAAGCTGGCTGCTGTACTTGACACTCAGCGGAGCTTGACTCGCCCGACTCGGAAATTTGATAGTAGCTCGCGTCAAGTGGCTCAAGTGCATTTCGCTCTTCCGCAGCCAGCCCAATGGGCTCCAAACTGCGACGACGACTCATTCTGCATGTGCACTTCACTCGATCCAACCAACTTGTGAGCTTTTCTCAAATCGTCTCCTTCAAAAGCTAGTCACCCACTCCCTTTCTTGTCGACGGCGAGGATGTAGTCAAAACAAATGTAATCTGATCGCTTCCAAGCCGCGCACGCTTTTCCAAAAACATTACGTCAACTTTGAAACGTCATAACTTGATAATTGATATCAAGGTCCTTAGGTCGTTTTCTGCTTTGCACGGCCCATACATATAATTCATTAGCTAAGTAGTGGTTGCGACTTCGGCGATGATTTGCAAGAAAGGGTTTGCTCCCCACACCGGAGCTCGCGCTATTCCGCCGACGTTACTTGACACTTGACTGACTCACGACTGTGAATTCCCCGAAACACTGTGTATTGAGCAGGGAGTAGTGCTTTCTTGCAGGTTTGCCGAGTCGAAGGTTCGATGGACTTCTCGTGTGCTCTGGATGGCAGTCGTGAGTCAGTCAAGTGTCAAGTAATGTTGGCGGAATAGCGTGAGCTCCGGTGTGGGGAGCAAACCCTTTCTTGCCAACTCATTAACTCAATTCATTAGCTGCATTATTCATTTGGTCTGGGTAGCTACTTGCGCGTCCATGTTTGCCATAGCTACCCAGGCCCATTATATTGCGTTGCTGCTCTCTCAACTCTCTCTCTTCAATAAACTCTCTTCAATAATCTCCCTCTTCAATAATCACCATGTAGTCGTTTCGTTCGTCTTGGTCTCTTGTCCTGTTTCTAATAAATGTCGTTCCACCAACCTACCTGCTCCCGTCGTTATTCTTTCGTTCGGACTCAACATGTGGAATACATATCTTTGAAAAATCAGTGTTCGTTCCCAGGAAATGGCTCAACTCACTATTACAGACAGGTTTCAGCTCCGTTAAAGTTCCATTCTCATTGCAAGTTGCTTCTTCAGATCCATTTATGCTATAACCAGCGTCACATGTGTAATTCACACGTTGAAGGTACGGCACAACTTTCTTGTCACCACGGCCATGGGCGACAGTTGGCACAGTACAATTGACAACTAGAAATGAGATGAAAATGAAGAATGCGGGGACAGAGAAAAGAAGCAGAAGGATGTTAGAAGAAACAGCTCGCCAGGTTAACGAAGGATTCAACAGGTTCAATGGGCACCGTATGCCCTCTACATGTCAAGTCAGCCCATATGAATGTCAGTGTGAGTGTGTGTGTGTGTGTGTGTGTGTGTGTGTGTGCGTGTGTGTGTGTGTGTGTGTGTGTATGTGTGTGTGTGTGTGTGTGGTATGTGCAGCGATTTCCATTCGATAGATTGCGGGTTCGATTCCCGACGATTATGGTCACACACGTCTTTCTTCTCTTTCTCAGACTCTTCCTGACTTTTCTTTCATTCTCCTGGGTGGTTACCAACAGCCAGTGCATGCCGGAGTATGTGGTGTGATGTGTGTGCGGGAAAAAAAAATGAAAAGACCAAAAATAGGGATTCACTGGCCAGAAAATGTCACTCCAAATAGCTGTATGGTGTAGACCAGGCTGAATAGTGACGGTCAATTCTTCAGCCTTGCAAGCTGTTGAATGGTGAAATCCCAGCACAAGTTGCTATGGCTTCTGCCGTAGCATTGCTATCATCGCCTCCGGCGATGGGTGTCAAAGGTCAAGGTGTGTGAATCTGTGTTTGTTTGCAGTTTGCTCCAACCGATGTCAACTATCAGTCTCTGAAATAGCCAGAATATAAAATGGCTGGTAAAATTAAGGGAACCAGAAAGAATTAATTACTCGCCATGCGTAAAGAGAGAGCCTTAAAGCTCAGGGCCCTACGCTACGCTTTTTTTCCTCTAGCTCAATATGAATGTTATTCAAATTGATGGAAACGTTTTTTGCAATACAATCATGTAGTCGACAAAGTAACGTATTTTGCATAGCGGCATAGATTGCGTAGATGAAGGCCTTATGCCTACGGACTGCCGTCACCACACACCGAACATGTTCGGGCATGCTCAGGTATTTTCTGCTGCTGACTGGATGCCTGTTCAGCAGTATCTTGTTGTGGACAGACCTTGTCACGAAATCGGCTAGTCTCTAAACGATGGAATATTTGCTCCGTTGTTTCTTGTTGTCAGCTTAGCCTTTCGCAAGCATAGCGACTGTCAAGGCGACGGAACCTCTCTTCTCCCATCTTCTACTCTCTGTGTAGTCATTCCTGCCGACGCCATCTGATCAAAGCTTCAACACTGTCTCCCTGTCATTTTTCTCTTCCTCATAGTTTTCCGTTAATGATCTCACCATTGCATTTATGCAACCGTGCCCAACACTGCGATCTACCCTATCCTTACATTCCCTGAAACGATCATCCATTTAGCCCAATCGATTACTCTTTATCATAACGATCGATTATTCGATTATAATCTTTAAGAGGCCGCACCTGGAATATGTAGTACGTAGAATGGCCAAAAGTGGAAATATGTACAACATTTTGCACACAAAAAGTGTTATGTATGCAGACGGGACGCGACCTTGACCTTCGAGCTTCATGCTCCAGCTTCGTTGTACTACACTAGTACTGTCACTAGGACTGTTTTTCGATTCTGACAGCATGTAACAAGGCGAGTCGCGCGTGCAGTGCGTAAGAAATTTAAAATTAAAAAAAAAAACGCAAAATAATCGTAATCGGTAATCTAAACGATTGCTCGATCGTTAGAGTTATCAAACGAGTACTCGATTATTCGGTATAATCGTTTCAGCCCTACTCCCAATACACTTCGCATACACACAGTCTTCCAAGTTGCTTCACGTCATGATCTTGTATTTGACAGACCTATTTGAGTAAGGTGGCCAGCTGTCTTTGATGGTACGATATGTGACATGTACTGGATACTGCCAGGTATGCCGACGTCGACAGGCCTAAAAAACGGAATTAAAGGGGAACTCCGATCCAAAATCACCCCCATTTTTTGTTGCGGAATCCATTAGAGTATGTCGTAAGTGGTAGAATGGCGAGAACCAGAAGCTTCTACGACAAGGATAACATACCTAAATTACCAATTGCGATTTTCCATATTTGGCACGAGGGGGCCCCCGCCCACCCTGTGACGTAGAACGTTCTCAGTGACCTCCAAATTTGTTTATTCAAATGGTAGACCTGCAGAAATTTTGAAAAAGGTATTCACTGTTTTTTCTTCAATCAATAACCCTTGTACTAGTATTCATTCGATCATCATGTTGGAGGAAGAGGAGACCACGGGAGGTGTGGAGGTGGACGCCACTTCGGATTCAACAACACCGAGGCCTTTTAGGTTCGAGCCGAAGCGCGCATCAGCGTCTGCGAGACTGTCTACAAGTAATATTTCTGAGACTACAAAACAGATGAACGTGAAGAGAACGCTTTGGTTGCAAGTGGTCGCGTGAGAAGCACTGCTTCATGCCGTTGCGGACAATGCAGCATGATGTGGAGCGAGGTCGAGTCGACTTGTTGCTGGGAGGTTCCTGCAGCTTTCAGTAAACGCGGCGAGCAGGAAGGACTGCAGTGCGTCATGCAGCACTCAGTGTTTGCTGTTGTTTGCCTGCAAAAATCAGTGCTCGAGGTCGCATTGCTTTCCTTTGAAGAATTTCCGGCAAGGTGTGGACCGTGGTCAAACAGGTGAGGATTCACTGAATCGGTTTCATTATTTCCTTTCTTTCCATGTTTCATGTACCGGTACAAAGTACTAGTAAATGGGAAGTGTTGTGCAATGATTTTGTGTAGAGTATTCAAATTCACCAACTTCCGTCACACAATCATGAAGTTCTATTGCACCCATGCCAATATAATTATACTGGTACACGATGTCTTTCATTCATACTATTCCTAGCACTGTAAGTGTTTCAACTGTGTGTAAAAGTGATGTAAATTTGAAAAAAGGCCAAAGTGTCTTTAGTATAGTCGCCCATAGAAATATTAATTCGAATCCGAAACTATTTACACTAAAACTATTTACTTTTATACAATCATGAAGACACTCGTGGTATGTGTATCTACATCTCTCCAACTGTTTTGTGCAGGATTTGGAGACATGTGGCGTATAGACAATACCCATGGTTCACCCATGGATACTTTGGACGCAAGCAGCAGCGTGTGATACCGTCTTGCGTGGTATCGAAGATAAAGCAGCTGTACCAGAAGCCAATGCAGATGCGCACTGGGGCTTTGAGGAAGCAGTTGGATATGATGATGATGATGATGATGATGATGATGATGATGATGATGATATTTGTAGTTCTATTGTTGACATCTTTTGTCTTTTCTTTGGGTTTTAAAAGGTTAACTTCATCCTCGTGTTCCTATTGCCTTGTATTGGAATTTGCCCATAAAAGTGGCTACGGTGTGATAATGCATTTCTATAAATTATTTCGTGTTTTAACATTATTTTCAGAAAATTGCTCTTACAATACCTTGCGTTTCATATTCATAATATTGTTGCCCGTAAAAGCGGCTTGGCCACATGATGATGATGATGATGATGATGATGATGTGTACGGGTGTCTTAAGTTTTTTATGTTTGTTCTTTTATTTTCCATTATGAGCCGGTCTTCTCCGATTGGTGGCCCCATGCCCCATGCTCATTGTGTTCAACTGCACTTTGCGTTCCTTTCTATATTGAGTTCTAGTGCACTTTGAGTTCATTTTCCTCTCTTTTTTCATTCTAATTGAATTTTGATGTATTGCGTTTTTGCTTGCCCGTACAAGAGGCTGTTCAAATGATGATGATGATGATGATGATGATGATGATGATGATGATCATCATCTTGCGTTTTATATTCATAATATTGTTGCCCGTAAAAGCGGCTTGGTCACATGATGATGATGATGATGATGATGATGATGATGAAGTACCCACTAGTAATGGGCATACTACGCACCCGTTTGTCTTTCTGCTTGCTGCGATGGGCAGTCACCTGCTTCCGCGGTTGCCGCGGTTCGTACGGCAAGAGGCGACAGCCGAACTCATTTCTGGCCCAGTGCCGCCAGGCGGAGTAGGGTGCTGCCTTTGGCCTCAACTTAATATAATGCTATTTTGGTTTTTTCCCCTTTTATTACTCTGTGTTCATTGCTTGTTTTTGTATTGATTTACTTCCTTGACTGCTTTTGTGTTTCATCATTTTCCGGTTGGTTTTGTGTTGATTTCCCCTGTTCACTTTACATATTGTAATGATATACATTTGCTTTGCCCGTAAAAGAGGCTTTTCTCATGATGATGATGATGATGATGATGATGATTTCCCCTGTTCACTTTACATATTGTAATGATATACATTTGCTTTGCCCGTAAAAGAGGCTTTTCTCATGATGATGATGATGATGATGATGATGATGATGATGATGATGATGATGATAATGCTTCTTGGCCTGGTTGACGTTCACATAATCATTGGTACATGTGCATGCAGAATGTAGAAAACAGTTGACAGACACGATTTATAACTATTCTTGACTCGGGCAATATTTGTGTTTTCGGGTGGGCGCATGCTTTGCACCAATGCAGCTGCATGAACAATCTGGTAAAGTTGACAGATACAATGGCACAAGACTGTACTGTGTTCGGGAGCATGGGGTTGTGCCGGTGCCGTGTGCCGTTGCGAATGCCGAGAATGGTTGTATGCACATCGTTCAACAGGTCCTTCAAGAAGTTGCAGGAAATTGTCGTGCAGCTTCTTGGCCACTTTGTGCTCTTGGTGTATTCCAGCCTGTACCTGAGCACACCCTCCTTGGTTTTGGCGTGCGCTCTCCCTATATTGGCATTGTGGGACAGACATGCCGACTGTACCCGTGCTCTCATGCCATTGTACGAAAAGTGGACACGTTTTGGTGCCCACTTCAGTATGACAGCATGGAAAATTTCCAGACTACAAATCATACTGTACCTTGTATTTGTGGCAGTGTAGCTGCAACCGGAAAGTAACGCAATGGAATTAACTTACAGATAAAGAGAACCGAAATAACACACATGATAACGTTCCATGTACATTACATCAATTCTCGACTTCACTGACTAGGATTTTGAGTAGAGGACTTTGCGTAGGACTGTACTCTGTACTCGTTTAGAGCTACGTTCTGGACGGCACAAAATCATGCAGTTCACTTACCTCATCGTGCTCACGTTCCTGGAAGTAAATCGAAGATGGTCTGCTTTTGCTGGCAGCAGAGGTAGAGGAGCTACTAACTATTAGTATGACATGCACCGCCAAGTTCAGGATGGCAGAGACCCTGGCTTCAAGCATCGCTGCTGCTTCTGCTTATAGTCACCAATGCTTTGTGCAAACTCTTGTTGGAAATCTCTTTCATAGCACATCTCAGTGAAATGCTCAGTGCAGACACGATTATTTTTCGTCGGAGAAAAATCCTTCCAACATACTCTCCATAGCCAAGCTGTCGTCAGGTTCGCGTCAGCCAGAGGAAAGCCATGCTACGACAGCCCGCAGGCGCCTCTTTCTTCGTGACATTGTTGCATCCAGAGACGCAGCAGCGAGTCGTGACAATAAATCGGGCATGGCACAGAACAACAAGCACTTCAACAATGGCCAAGGACTTTTCATTCTTGCTTCAATTATTTGAAAATGTCATCTGAGTGGACCGGGCTGAGAACGTTTTACGTCACAGGGTGGGCGGGGGCCCCCTCGTGCCAAATATGGAAAATTGCAATTGGTAATTTAGGTATGTTATCCTTGTCGTAGAAGCTTCCGGTTTTCGCCATTCTACCACTTGCGACATACTCTAATGGATTCCGCAATAAAAAATGGGGTGATTTTGGACCGGAGTTCCCCTTTAAAGCTGTTTGGACCCTGTCAAGCGCCACATGTTAATAGCCTCTTTTGCATAGCTACGGGAATTAAAGTATTATACTTTGTGCGTTTTCTTGCACTTACTGTTGCAAATAGGCATTTGTAGAGTTCCATCAGCACTGCACATTGCTGTTGCAGATCCGTTCATTCTATAACCAGTATTACACGTGTAGTTCACACTCTGAAGATAGGACACCATTGTCTTGTCTGCATTGCCATTCACGAGTGTTGACACTGTGCAATTTACAACTAGCAAAACCAGATCAAAGAAGGACATTTGAGAACGGAAGTGAAATGCTCTCCGTCCTGAAATGCAAAAATAATCATTGTATTTGTATGTGTGAGACCAAAGCACCCAGCAGACATAGTGGGCTGGTCTAAGGCCATGATTAAGAGATGATAGGTGATCTCAAGTGTAATCCTGAATAAGCAGACTGAAACCGTCTACCCATACCATAGAGTTGTCTTCTTGCTCCTCACACTACATTCTTCTTGGCTTTATGCTACACGTTAGCAGGCGACTTGATAACACTCAAGAAAGCACTGCCTTTTCCCGGCTTGGGGAATTGTGATTGTGGTCAGAGATGTCTGGAATACATATCTTTGAAAAAGCAGTTTTTGTTCCCAGGAAAATGACTCGACTTACTGATACAGACAGGTTTCAGCCCTGTCAAAGTTCCAGTAGCACTGCAAGTTGCTGTTACTGATCCATTTATACTATAGCCAGTGTCACATGTGAAATTCACTTTTTGAAGGTATGACAGAACTCTCTTGTCACCACGGCCATGGGCAACAGTTGGCACAGTACAATATTTATTGATAACTAGAAATGAGAGGACAATGAAAAATGTAGTGGAAAGGGAGAACAAGCAGAAGAACGTTAGAAGAAACAACTCTCCAGATTAACCCTTTGGCGTCCATGGTTCGATTTCAAACCATGGGCATTTTGTATGCATGTGGGCAAAGTCAAACTTTCGGTTCTCGGCCAAATCTTGACCAAATTCAACAATCGAAGGGTCTAGGTGGTAGAGAAAACTCTCACCTATCAAAAAAAGAGAGAATTAAACAGGTTAGATGGGCATCGTATGTGCTCTACATGCAGTCGTGAGACAGTCAAGAGTCAAGTCAGTCCATATGGATGTGTGTGTGTGTGTGTGTGTGTGTGTGTGTGTGTGTGTGTGTGTGTGTGTGTGTGTGTGTGTGTGTGTGTGTGTGTGTGTGTGTGTGTGTGTGTGTGTGTGTGTGTGTGTGTGTGTGTGTGTGTGTGTGTGCGGCAGAAACCAGTGTGTAATCAGGCTGGTGCTTGCCAGTGTCGTCTCTGCCAACGCTGGTTCCGCAGCTCCGGTGGATTGACTACCCATCGGTGTGATCACGGACCTGCTCCCAACGTCGAGCACCCCGGCAACCCGGTCACTCCGCAGTGCAGCACCTGTCACCGGAGTTTCAAGGCCAGCAGCGGCTTGGCCAGACACAAGTGCGACCGCACGAAACGAAGGACAGTGTCGGAAAGGGTCGACTTGCCAAAGGAAGTTCCGACTACGTCCCCATCTAGTACGCCATCAGAAGTGCTGCTCCTCAGCCTCTTCCACCCCTCTCACCTGACGGGGACCGTATAACCTATCAAGGCAACGTGTATCAAGGTCAAGGTCAAGGTGTGTGTGTGCATGTGTGTGTGTGTGTGTGTGTGTGTGTGTGTGTATCAAGGTCAAGGTCAAGGTGTGTGTGTGTATGTGTGTGTGTGTGTGTGTGTATGTGTGTGTGAATCTGTGTTTTTTTGCGGTTTGCTCCAATCGATGTCAACTATCAGTCTCTGAGTTAGCCAGAATATAAAATGATTTGTAAAATTAAAGGAACCAGAAATAATTAATCACTCGCCATGCGTAAAGAGAGAGCCTTCAAGGTCAGGGTCCTATGCAATGTTTTTTTTTGCCTAGCTCATTATGAATGTGTTTCGAACTGATGGAAACGTTTTTGCAATACAATGATAATTATACCGTATTTTTCGGAGTATAGCGCGCACCTTTGTATAACGCGCACCCCCAATCTTCATTGGGGGTGCACACTTCAATCTTCAATCTTCATTGAAGTACATGCATTTCATATTCGGAGCATAGTGCGCACCTGCGATTTAGGGCCTAAAATAGCACATCTAAAGTGCGCACTATACTCCGGAAAATACGGTAGTCGACAAAGTAACGTATTTTGCATAGCGGCATAGATTGCTTAGATGACGGCCTTATGCCTACGGACCGCAGTCACCGAATATGGAACAAGTTCGGGCATGATCACGTCTTTTCTCCTGCCGCCTAAATGCCTGTTTAGCAGTCTCTTGCTGTCAACACATCTTTTCACGAAGTCGGCGAGTCTCCAAACGACGGAATATTTCCTTCGTTGTTTCTTGTTGCCGGCATAGCCTTTGCGAGCACAGCAAATGTCGAAGCGGCGGGACCTCTCTTCTCCCTACTTCTCTCTGTGTTTGCATTCCTGCTGACGCTATCTGATCAAAGCTTCAACACTGTCACCCCTGTCCATTGCTCGTATCCGTGAGGAGGTGTCAGCCGTCAGTAACTCGTTCAATGGCTTGGATACTCGACTCAATATTCTTGAAAGAAGGCTTGAGAAGACGGATACCGGACCCTTGGAGCAAGCGATCAGGTCGCAAGGCGAAGAAATCCGGCGTGTGGCTGCTAACGCGGACGTAACTTGCAGTCGAGTAAGGAAGCTGGAGGAGTGCCTGGCCGGTACCCAACCAGTCTGTACCAGTCCTTCACCGCGGGTACATCCACGGCCCGCGCAGGCTGTGGGTGCGTGCCAGGCGCAGATGCACCCCCACTCCTACTCCAGGGCTGCGGCTGCGCCGGCTACCGATGGCTTTCGTGCCAAGGCTGCCCAGGCTGCACCAGACAGGACGAATGCAGGCTCAGTAACGGAGCCCACACTTCAGGCAACGGTGACATCTTGCTATCAGCGCCCTGCACGCAAGCACGACCGGTTAAGGGGTGCCAGTCGGCTAAAGTGCAAGGCCGTCTACGTTGGCCGTGTTGATGTCGGTTGCTCGGCAAGTTCAATCGCTAAATGGTGCGAGGACCGTAGTGTGACTGTGATCAAATGCTCAGTATCTGCGGCACGGTATTTTGGTCTGGCGTATGCCCACCTTGTTATTTCGGAGGAGCTTGGCAGAAGTCCAGAGTCTAGACTTCTGGCCAAGTGGCATTTCGGTTCGTGAATGGCGCTTCAAATCAGACCGCATCACTCAACAGAACTGAGTGCGTCGCTCAATCCACTTGCGCCACCATTCCTTCCTGATTCTGGACGACAAACTAATAAAACTCCCAATCAACCTGCCCAATTACCTTCATCCTTCTCAGTGCTCTCACTTAACTGCCGCTCCATAGTGAATAAGTTAGCTGAGCTTAGTCAAGTCTGTGAGCAGTATTCTCCAGACATAATCTGCCTATGTGAAACGTGGCTGACAACTGCCATAGACGTCTCAATTCCAGGCTACACGTCATACCGCCTGGACCGCCCACCCACGACCAGCTCTGATAACCTGCCAGCAAGAGGCTATGGCGGTGTTGCTACTCTTGTAGCTGACAGATCGTTCATGTCCATCAAGCGCCGCTTCGACCTTGAGCGCTGTGGACTGGAGGCGGTTTGGCTCGAATTGCGGCCAGTGATCCTTCCCTCACTCCCCCTCATCATCTGCTCAGTTTACAGACCCCCTGGAGACAGCATCTCCCAAGTCCAGGCATTTAGTGACCTCCTAGAGGACTGTCTGTCCAATATTAGCCTCCCCAATTCGGCGATTGTACTTGCAGGAGACTTGAATGCTCGCCACTCTGACTGGTCTCCTAGTGACACCACGAATCGTGCTGGAAGGGAGTTCCGTAACCTCTTCTCTTGTTTTGGCCTTGAGCAAATGGTGACATTCCCCACACACTTTACCCCCACGGCTCAACATCGTGTATTGACGTTGTACTCACGGATCATCCTCACCTACTACTCTCTGTTACATCTGTTGCTCCTCTTGGTGCATCTGACCACGCACAGATCCTCAGTCATTTCCTACTGCCTACTGATGCTGTTTACCGTGAGGAACCTGCTGCAAGCGGACATCCCGCTGCTGCACCCCGAAGCCACTTCAGCAATGTTCCTGCAAAGCCGGAATATGACTTTAAATCCGTGCCATCTTCCGTCTGGGATAGTGTGAATGCAGAGCTCTCTGATATTGACTGGAGCTGGCACCTGCGTGCCAGCAACGTCGATGATGCGCTTTCACACTTTTCTTCCATTCTCAACAGTGCCCTTGAGAAGCACCTCTGGCCATTCGGAAAGCAGCCGTATTCTCACCGCTGCCCACGGCCCAGTCAGCCACCCTGGGTTGATGCCCATCTCCGCACAGCAATCAAGTGGAAATATGATCTCTATAGCATTTTTAGGAAGTACCCAACACAACAAAACAAACAAGCATACCAACAGCAGCGAAATATAGTGAAAACCCTGACGCGGACAAAGTACAGAGCTTATATCCGCTCAGTGAAAACTACTTTGCAGGGTAGACACCGTCCATCGCTTCACCAGTTTGTGAGACAAGCAAGAATTCGAAACGTATCACGGGAAATTCCGTCACTCACAACAGGGACTCAGCAGGCGGCTGACCCTTTGGCCAAAGCTACGGCATTAAACGCCCAGTTTGCCTCTGTGACTCGGCCAGATGACCCGTTGCTCTCTATTCCCCCTATTCTCACCCCCTCGTGCCCTCAGCTTGTTTCACGTCCGTCATCACCACAACTGCCACTGTCCGGCGTCATCTGAAGAAGCTTCCGACGTGCAAGGCGTCTGGTCCTGACGGCATCCCCAACCGGGTCCTCAAGGCCCTGGCACCATCCATAGCATTCCCTTTGTGCCATATTTTCAACATGTCATTTGCCACGGGCATAGTCCCTTCCGCATGGAAAACAGCGAAAGTCATACCTGTATTCAAGAAAGGTTCCCGTCACGAACCTGCAAACTACCGCCCTATCTCTCTTCTTCCCTGCGTGTCCAAAGTATGTGAACGCATCTTTTATGACCACTTATACAGACATGTTTCGCCGTTTCTGAGTCCCGCACAATCTGGGTTTCGTAAAGGCGACTCCACCTCTCTTCAACTGACCCGCATCGTGCAGCAGGTGTGCCAGCATAGGGATAACAGAGCGCTTGCTGGCATTTGCTTCTTTGACTTGGCCAAGGCTTTTGATACCGTCTGGCATCGAGGACTTTTGGCAAAGCTCGAGCATGCATTCAGGGTACGCAAACAACCACTCTCCTGGCTGAAATCTTATCTCTCTGGGCGTTATCAGTACGTAACTGTGCTTGGCACATCCTCAGCTGCAGAGCCAGTATTGTCGGGCGTTCCTCAAGGATCAATTCTTGGTCCCCTACTATTTATAATTTACGTAAACGACTTACCTGCAGTCTTCCCTGGAACGTCTCTGTTTGCTGACGACACGACCCTTCTCACCTCATCAGCTTCCCTCACTGGCCTGAAAAACAACTTGCGTGCTGGCATTCAGGAAGTTCTTTCCTGGATGTCGTCCTGGAGGTTGTCCCCAAATCTATCAAAAACAAAGATCATGCTCTTCCCGCCCCAGCCGGAGTTCACAACCCTCATCCATGCCAACTTTCCAAATCCAATTGACATAGTGTCTTCTCACAAACACCTTGGCATTGTGATTGACTCTGCACTCTCTTGGGTACCTCACATCGAATATATCTGTAAAAAAGCAAGTAAATCCTTAGGAATTCTCTCCCCCCACTGCTCCTACCTCCCACTTTCTTGCAAGCTTCTTTTTTATTTAGCCTACCTTCGCCCAATATTTCATTATGCAGATACGTCTTGGGTTGGGTTATCCTCTTCCGCTGCTGCAAAGCTTGAAATACATCACAAGAAAATCCTTAAAATTCTCCTCCATCAACCCCGCATGCTCTCATCATCCGCCCTTTATAAAATCGCTCACACAACCCCGTTATCACATGGACGCAGTGCACACCTGGCTTCTCTTGTCCATTCTATTAAGCTTGAGTTGTGCCCACCTCATCTCATGTGTTTTAATTGGTTCTCTTCTCTAAGAACTAGAAACTCGCTCTTACTCCCTAAGTGTAACTCATCCACTCTTTTGCGCTCCCCTCTCTTTATTGCTTATTCTGTTTGGCTCACTCTACCCAGAGAAGTTAAGGACCTGACCTCACTCCGCCTGTTTAAGATCCGTGCCGCCCCTTATTTACTACGACATGCATAGCTCATTATCCACATGTCCTTTGCGTCTCTGTGTTTTTCACTGTTTTTATTTGACATTATCTTTCTTTACGGAGTTGTTGTTGCTGTTCGTTTTGCTACTCTTTCTTTTTCCCTCCCCTTATTTCTATTTATCGCCGTGGTTGGCAATCACCCACTCTCGTAATATTGGCCGGTGTTTCCGCCGAGTCTTGAGATGTTGCAATAAATACTAAATACTATTTTGCTCTTCCTCATAGTTCTCTGTTAATGATCTCAGCATTTTATACAACAACTGTGCCCATTAAAACACTGCAATCTACCCGATCCTTGCATTCCCTGCCCATTAGGCATTCGAATGATAATGCGATAGTGCAGCACTGTAACCTTGATGACCTAGGCAAAAAAGCATAGCGATGGTATTTTTTTTCATTTCCCCTACTTTCTCAAGTCACAATATGGGATTCGAACCTGCACTCTCACCCTGCATGCATTCTCCCAATACACTTCGCATACACACACATTATTTTAAGATATGAAGCTGACAAAGTACCATTTTTTTCATTTTTCCATTTTTCTATTGCTTCACAATTATCATATTCAGCAATTGGTAAGAGCCGTAGTTGGCTCTGGAAATCGCGGCAGGAAGGCAGATATGCCTGTTCAATTGGTGAATTAGAATTAAAATACCATACCATACCATGCTTCATGTCATGATCTTGCAGTTGAAAGCCCTATTTGAGTAATGTGGCCAACTGTCTTTGATGGTACGGTGTGGGATGGGAAACCGCCAGGCATGTCGATGTCGTCAGGCACAAAAAAAGAAACGGAATTAAAGCTGTGTGGACCCTGGCTAGCGCCAGACCAGACGTTATGTAAATACGGTCTTTTGCATAGCTACGGGAATTAAAGTATTATTGTTTACGTTTTCTTGCACTTACTATTGCAAGTAGGTATTTGTAGAGTTCCATCAACACTGCACATTGCTGTTGCAGATCCATTCATTCTATAACCAGTATTACACGTGTAGTTCACACTCTGAAGATAGGACACCATTTTATTGTTCGCATTGCCGTTCATGAGTGTTGGCACTGTGCAATTTACAACTAGCAGAACAAGAACAAAGAAAGACATTTGAGAATGGAAGTGAAATGGCGTCCGTTCTGAAATGCAATAATTGTATGTGTATGTATGAGACAAAAGCACCCGGCAGCCATAGTGGTTCATTTCACTCATTCAAGCTGCTTTAGCTTTCGCCTCCTTGCCGGCCCTTGATATGTCTTCAATGACTTCCAAGGTATGGGCCATCAAACTATGAATAATGAATTCAAGAGCCGAACAATTCGCTTAACAACATACAGTTTCCCAAGAAACTTCTAAAACGTTGCCACAACGATTCAAGTGAGATAAGCAGTGTCTGGGACAGCCCCATGTGATCAATAAGTCTGCTATGCACTCATACCCTCTAACTGCAATCATGTTACCAACTGTGGGGTGAAACCTAATTTCGATGAATCTGCTCTTCATGGACAATTGGCAGATGAACATGATTGTTTTCTGAGACCCTGCGGCGATTCCAAGTCAATTAAGGGGGAATGGTGATTGTGATCGGGGATGTCTGGAACACAAATATTTGAAAAATCAGTGTTTGTTCCCAGGAAATGACTCAACTCACTGTTACAGCCAGGCTTTAGCTCTGTTAAAGTTCCATTCTCACTGCAAGTTGCTGTTGCAGATCCATTTATACTATAACCAATGTCACATGTGTAATTCACTTGTTGAAGGTATGACAGAACTCTCTTGTCACCACGGCCATGGTTGACAGATGGTACAGTACAATTGACAACTAGAAATGACATAAAGACGTAAAGTGTTAGGAGACAGGTAGACAAAAGAAGAAGAAGGCTCAGAGAAAAAAAACTTGCCACATTACAGTCTATTTTGATTCCATCACTCCTGACTGAGCTCTTGGCCCACATGATGGAGTTTTCAAACTCGTCAAAGATTATGATCTAGAACACGAAGTGCAGCATCCATCCACATCTCCTCCTCCATTATCTAAATACATGTGCAATGTACCTCGTAGCGTGTGGATTTTCTCCTGAAAGAGAAGAATCGCAAACAATTTGAATCTAGTACAATATATGGTATATTTTAATTTTCAAATCTTGATTTCGTGGTCCTGGGTGTGTGCGTGTGCGGGTGCATGCAAGAGTGCGTGCGTGTGTGTCTGAGAATCCGTGTATGCGTGTATTCCGGGACATGCATATATTCATGGAGGAGTGCTTTCATCCACAGTCAGCTGAGTATGCCATTCTTGAAAGGGTGCGCTTAATGAAGCCAACAATTACGAGTGTCAGTGTCATGCAGAATATTGCAAGATCGTAGCAGTAAAATTCATGTCATGGAAGGTAAAAGAATCACTCTCTCATCATTCTTTTGATCATAATTCAGATCACGGCAAACAATCGAGGACATCTAGAAGTAGTAATTTTAGTACTCATCCGAGGTATGAATCTTGGACTGAGCCAAGCACAAGAAGAAGCTTTCTGCCAAAAAAACTTAAGGAGTTGCTTTTTGTTTGATCCTTTGATGTGATCTTTGTAGCCAGTGAAATTTAATTGATGTTTGGAGCAGAAAGCAGAGAGGTGAGAGGTGGACTGAGACTTGATGGCACTAACGGCGAATATCAAGACCTTACGGCCACGGAGCTGCGGGCCTCTGCGCTGGTCGTCTGTCCGTGTGGAAGCGAAGCAAACGCGGGCAACATTCTGCTGAAGCGAGCGCGGAGCTGAAGCTGGATTGGAAACTGACGTACCTGCTTACTCCACAACACCGGCGCATAATGATGTACATGTACAAGACTTCGTGCGTATTCAACTCAAATCCGTGTTCCGTCAGCATCAGTGTCAGCAACTACATGCAGGACAATTTGTTCCCAAAATAACTTCGGGACAGTCTGTTCATGGTTTTCATTTGTATTGGACTCATTCTCTACACTTGCGATAATTTAGCGGCAATTCTAATGTTGAAGCGTTGTTCTCTTGTAATTTAGTGGAACCTGTATTAAGTAGTTGGGTTATATGTTTCATTACACTGTGGATAGATCTCATGTGTACCGGTTTTGTGGCACGATGATTATAGCCATTTGTCCTCTCCGTTCTTGTGCAATCATGCATATGTAGGTTGGTTCTCTTCATGTTATTGTTACCTATTTCATAGATGTTGATTGCCTTGTTGCTTTCTCTCCCCTCTCCTCTCACCCAAGCCATTCTGCATAAGCAAAGCTGTGGAATCAACATACGGCTGCTACACTTCAATGCGAGAATGCGTATAATAATAATAATTGGAGCAGATACATTGAAATTTACTATTTACTGCACGACTGCACTCATGTACTCAGGCATGCAGCTTCACTTGTACCAACTATTCGGTGAACCAATGCTTTCGATGAATCTGCTCTGTATGGTTATTTGGCAGATGATCATGTTTTATTAGAACCTGCGGCAATTCCAAGTCAATTAAGGGGGAATTGTGATTGTGGTCAGATATGTCTGGAATTGTTACCAGGAAATGGCTCAACTTACTGTTACAGACAGGTTTCAGCTCTGTCAAAGTTCCATTCTCATTACAAGTTGCTGCTTCGGATCCATTTATACTATAACCAGTGTCACAGGTGTAATTCACTTGTTGAAGGTATGACACAACTTTCTTGTCACCACGGCCACGGGCGACAGTTGGCACAGTACAGTTGACAACTAGAAATTAGATAAGGACATGCATATGAGAGACATTAAGTCTATGTTGATTACGTCAATCCTAACTGAGCTCTTGGCCCACATGATGGAGTTTTCAAACTATTTTGGAATTGTTAAACTCGTCGCAGATTATATCTAGAACTCAAAGTGCGGCAACCATCTACATCTTCTCCGCAATCATCATAATACCAGTTTATGAACGCCTCAACATTCAACCCCTACCATCAATGCATTTGCAGCAAACTCCTGCTGCTAGCGTTTCGTGTAATTCATAATAAATGTAGTGTGCTTCTTCATGACCTCGTTAAACCTCTGTCACACATCCATAAAAAAATGAGCACAGATGTTCCCCTGCTTCTTTTCCCAAGGATCTCATCTACCAGGTCAATTCCAGACCGCTCTTTTATCCCACTTGACAATTCAATGACATTGCTCACTGATCAAATAATTATGCAATCTTTCTCCAATGTTATCGCATGAGCTGATTGTTTAGTAACTGGTGGTGTTAGTGGACAATATAGCGTAACTTGTACTTGGTCCGCGTCAGCTATATTGTCGCTTATCTTTCAGCTTTGTTTATATGTCGCCAATGCTTACTTGGCAGCCCATTTCATCCCAATTTTGGTTAGCAAGTTAGTTTGCTAGTACCTGAAAGGTCTAGCTAGAGTTCGAGTGGATTTCGAGAGCGACAGGTGGGTGATTCTGATTGATACAGCGCCACATCAAATAGATTATCTTTTTACGCTGTGCAGGCAAGAGCAGCGCAAGCCACAAGAATGCAATTGGCTACTCGGAATCAGCTCCATTTTGCTGAACGGCAAAGATGGCTCACCTCAGGGATCGCTCATCAAGCTGAGATCGCAGCTCCCTTACCTCCAGATCAACGCTCGGAGTATCCAGAGCGTCGTGGAGATTTGCAAGTACTGTACGCATCGTCGTTCAAAATAAAATCTTGCAAGGAACAGCGTCTGATTTGAACCACACAGGCTGTCGTGCTGCCCACGCAAAGTCCTATAGAGAAAGCGACGGTCACGATCGACTGCTCTTTAGAAAATAGCCAGGCAGCGGAGAGGAAGAGAGATGAGCTTGAAACAGCAAGAGAGTCGATCCCGAGCAAAAATATTTGTCGCCAGAGCCGAGAGCAGCGACGAAGAGGACCGAAAGAAGTAGGACCCCTTCCTTGGACAATATATTCCTCGCAGCTAGTTGTCACTCTATACCTTACCGTCCATCGTACCAAGTTTTATCACTTCAAGTGCACGCGTTCATGTCCAAAGGTTAAGTTCAAATTGTCGAAAAATAAGTGACAATATTGCTGACGCGGACCAAGGAGTTTCTTTGTCCTTTTTTTCTTTACTAGAATCTTTCTTCTGCGGTCTTAAACGCTACTCCATTTTTTTTATAATAATAATGATAATAATAATGTTCAGATGGAGAGCCAAGGTTTAATTTATGCAAAAGAGAAAGACCAAGGAACTACAAGTTACGCCATAATGTCCACTAACACCACCAGTTACTAAACAATCAGCTCATGCGATAACACTGCACGACACTGACCGGCGGTACTGACGTTCTACAACTAACTGGCTAACAGCTCTAGCACATCTTGGATGCGCACTCCAACAGCCTTCCAACTTGGAAGGTTCTAAGTTAGAGAAATAACATAAGGAGGGGAAGGTGAGCCCAACCAAGACAAGCACGAGCTGAAAGTCTCAGCTGTGAAGGATTTTGGCGGATGTTCATGCATGTCGATGACGATACTGGCAAGACTGGTGGTGTTAGTGGACAGTATAGCGTAACTTGTAGTTCCTTGGTCTTTCTCTTTTGTAAAAATAATAATGACAGTTCGCATATCACTCATTGCATGAGGTAAACACATCTGTTGACAATTTCGAGCCACCCAGCTCTATCAAAAGCAAATTCAGGTTGTGGCGTTTCCATGGAATGCTTGCAAATGCCCGATTGGCAGCAGACACTCTGGCTGCTATGTCTTCTGCTGTGCCTAGCATACTCCCCAGCAGCTTCACCGATTTCCATGAATCATTTTCCTTGGTCACAGTGAAGTATTGAGTTTTTGCCACGTTAAGCTTCAGATTGTCATCCGAGAAAACGGGTTCACACACACACGGACGGTTTCTTCCACCGCTGATCGCGTGTTCTGATGGGCAGTGGTTTCGTCTGCGTATTGTGTGAAAGTTACCGGTAGGTCTGATGTGGGTAGAGCTTGCTCTTGGATCTTACGCATGGAACCTTCGGTGTAAGTTATAAACATTATCGGTGACATTGGGTCGCCCTGGACGACACCGATGTTCGTTGGAAATGGTTTACTTAGTTGTTTACCAAGCTTTGTGCGGGCTGTTGTGTTTGATACTAGGACTGCAGTGGTGGACGTTGGTGCGCCAGCAGTGGCTAACCTCTCCAGAGCAACCTGACGAATGACAGTGTCAAACGCACCGCTGAAGTCCAATAGTGCCGATGAAAACGACCAGTCGCCAAGTAGTGCGCGCTCACACATCGTCCTGGCGTAAAATACACCATCCGTGGTCGATCTGCCAGGGCGGAAACCAGCTTGATTTTCTGCCACATATGACTGCACATGGTGTGTGTTTAGTCGGGTGAGTATTGACGTCAAGATCTTATGGATGACGGAAAGGAGCATAACGGGATGGTAGCTTTTTGGCTGTCCTAGAGGCTTGCCAGCTTTGTAGATGGGAACGGTGAGGCCGCAACGACTGTCGTCAGGACGGAAAGGAGTACTGAGACATTCGGCGACATTGGTGGACAGTTTGTCATAACTCGTAACATGTTGTCCTTTTCCTTTCTTCATCATACAATGATTGTTGTTTGCCCTTTGATGTAATCTTTGTAGCCATTCAAAGTTAGTGGCTACTTGGAGCAGAAACATAGAAATTAACTGTTTACAGCATAACTGTACTCATGTAGTCAGGAATACAGCTTCATTTGTACCTGCACTCGTGGAGCAACTAAAAAGAACCAATAGCATGATGGTATTGTTTCCGGTTTGAAAGTGGAGAGACAGCCTTCGTGCATTGAAAAAGGAGTAGAGAGTGACAAACGTAGGTTGGGAAGCTGATTATTGAGTGCTTCTAGTATGTTTTGAATATAATAGAAAATTCGCACACCAAAATCAGTGCGGCGGTGGGCGTACAATTTTCTTGCAGATGTATTGTTTGATAACTATATCAGTATCGTGATGGGTGCAGTCGAGGGGGTGGTTTTTCCTCTAGGCTTCGTTCGGTCGACTTTGCTTCGTCCTCGTTGAAAGTATTTTCTGAAAAAAGTCGATTCTCAAAATTGTGTTGATTTTCAATGTACTTGGTGCCATATGATTGCCGGCTATGAAATGTGTACTTACTGTTGCAAGTAGGCATTTGTAGAGTTCCATCAGCACTGCACATTGCTGTTGCAGATCCATTCATTCTATAACCAGTATTACACGTGTAGTTCACACTCTGAAGATAGGACACCATTGTCTTGTCTGCATTGCCATTCATGAGTTTTGGCATAGTGCAATTTACAACTAGCAGAACATGAACAAAGAAAGACATTTGAAAAGGAAAAAGGAAGTGAAAACCCAATACGACGTGAAAACCAGCCCCGTCACTTGAAATATTACTCATGGTATGATGTAAACTTTCACTACTGCCGCCATTCACACCCTCGCTCACTTGAATTATACTGTAATTCACGTCATGCTGTAATCTTTCCGGTCTGATATGGTGATAGATGTGGAACATCTACCTTAATAATGACAAACTGGACAAATGGCAACGGAGGAAGCTACGCGTACTGCTGCAGATTGTCTACCCGCAATGCATCACCGATAACAACGTATGCACAGAAACAAAACAATCTCCAGTTAGTGCCACATGCCGGCGATGCAGGCTGCTGTGGTTTGGCAATGTGGTGCAAGAGGGTCCAGAATCCACCTCGTTCCAAGCACTGGAGCTATCCATCAACCCAAATGACATAAAAACACTGTGGCCGTTCACTGTTGGGGTGGATAGATACGATTCGGCATGAACTGAAGGCAGCGGATCCCTCCGTGGAGAGTGCTCTTCCAGCTGCAGAAGATACACTAACTTGGATTGACACTGTTGACAGATGCGTCGACTCTGCACCTATGTAACATGTTTAGGGAAGATGCGAGCTGTGTGTATTATTGTTATTATTATTTTTCGCTTTTTCTTTATTTGTTGTGTCTGGCCAGTGATATCATGTTATGATTGCCCATACAATATTCAACTACTGCTGTCATTCACACTTTCACTCACTTGAGTTACTAGTATACTGTAATTCACGCAATGATGTGGGCCGCGATCAGCTAAAACATGTCTTTGGGGTTTCGTAAAAATGTTGAGAAATGACGAAATGAAAAGAAATGTTTTGTTTCGAGCGCTTTCACTCTGCGCTTCATTCATGATGCGGCGATCATCTTCTCAAATTGTGTTCAAACACTGGTTCGGCGGTCTAGTTCAAGTAGCTGGCTAGCAAAGACTGACAATGTTCGTATCTAGTGACACTAGAGCAGCTCGCAGGGCCAGACGATCGCTGTGCATGGCCCAGGTTTGGTCAGGTGTCAGCAAGTCTGTGGCGGCGGGTCTGCAGAGCGACGCTGAATATTTGTTGGGATCTCAGTGATGTTGATGTCGACAGCGAAGCTGAATCGTTCCCGTCGTCTCCAGTAGTGGCAGTGGCGAAGAGGCGCAAGTTGTGGGCGGGTATATTAGGCGGCGAACTGCCTTACGTCGTTACGATGTTACTTGCCGTTCAGCTCTAATGAGTCATCTGACACAGTCTCGGAAGCGCAGGCGACGATCAAAAGTGTCACTGCCAGAATCGAAAGAGTATGCAAGTGCAATGCCGCCCAGAGCATCGTGGTGCTTTCCAGGAAGAACTTGGTCCATGCGTTGGAACTTATGTCGTTGACATGCTCAAGTCTGTGTCAACATCTTTAGTTCCGTTGTATTGTGCTCCGCCACGAAAGCCACTAACTTTGTCTCTTTGTGTTAGACTGTGCGAAAACTGTCATTTTCCATTTCAAAGTACATATTTTGAAAGCGGTGTTTGGGGCACTTGTAGACTACTTTTCTGCCCTGTATCACCTTCAAGAGGTCAAGTAAGGTCCCAAGAACTGTTTTCTGGAGGACATTTGAAAATTTCACTCTAAGACATGTTTTAGCTGGTTGTGGCCCATGTAATCTTTCCGCTCTGCAATGGTGATATATTTAGAACATCATAAAAAGTTTATTCAATGTGTAGTTGTGCTTTACACTCTGTTCCAGAGTTCTCCTTTTCGCCAAAACTATCAGTTTGCGCTGGACGCCTATTCTGTGCATGAAGTGAGGACGAGAGCTCTGCATCAGAGTATGCCTTTGCAGCTAAGGGCCTGGTCAGACATGCCTTTTGCGGCAACGCTTTTTTCGCACCTCACTTCATATTTTTGCTGTCGCTTTCGGCGAAACATTTTGAACCGTGGCCACACATACATAAACACAAAGCAGCTGTGCAGTCTAGGCACTTGCGATATGAGGCCACCAGCGAGACATTTCAGTACTCTTTCAAGTAGTTTTCTGTCATATGCAGGCAGTCAGTGCAGTCAGTGTTCAGACGGTATCGGGTCATGTCAGTGGACACTAAGTGCATTGTACAGACCATGCATGAACTACTGCCTACTGCAGAGCTCAACTAGACACAAGCTGCTACTGCAGAGCTCAACTAGGCATTGCGACTAAACAGCCGTCTTCCTGGGAATCCTGCAGTGCTCAGCACCTTTCGTTTGAAACCTATCTGCTAGCTAGCTACGGATCCCGGCCCAAGCTGTTACTCGGGCAGCTAGAAGAGATGCAATTCAGCGTATGACTGTGTGGATGGGACCAGCACTCAGAACCACGTCCTTGATTTGTTTCTCGCTTTCAACTTTCTGCCTGGCGAGATTTCTTGGCGGAGACGAACAGCGCTCACGCTGCTAGGTCAGGTTGGACTTGCGAGTACTGTAGTGGCTCAAAACAATAGTATTACCAATGTCGAGGCGCCGCTATAGCAGTCTCACCGAATAGGTGCATGTAGGACCAGACCCGAAGAGATCGTTTTTCGGCAGAGAAATATTTACCTCCATTCGCAATAAGGTTCGACTTTAAGTTCAGCTGTAAGGGAGTCTACAATAAACATATAGCTGCACTTACTGTTACAAGTAGGCAATTGTAGAGTTCCATCAGCATTGCACGTTGCCGTTGCAGATCCATTCATTCTATACCCAGTATTACATGTGTAGTTCACATGCTGAAGGTATGACACAGTTTTCTTGCCTGCACTGCCATGTAGGAGTGTGGGTGCTGTACAATTTACAACTAGCAGTACAAGAAACAAAGAATGAATCAGGAGACAGAAAGTGAAAACTGCCATTCTTCATCAATGCTCACTCCGAAACTGTACTGTCCAGCTGATCTTGACTCGTTGCCTCAGCACACCACCAGCAAAGTAACACATCCGTTGCCACTGAATTTTATCCAGCTGTTTCGAGTACCGGTATAGAACCTCTGTCCGTGAAGGCAGATATTAGAGAGGTTCCGCATAACATAGTTATCGTAGTAAAAACGTAGTCGATCTGCGGAAAGTCTTACGTACACTGCATGCGAATCTGTGTTTCGCCATACGAAGTTTTCAAATCACGTAGCTGCCCATGGCAATTCCGAACGCGGCAGTGTTCGACCGGAACGACCTGGGGAGAGAGTCCTAAATTTGTACCGCAATCCACTTACAGAGCACCTACGTTATCAGAGACCTATCCACGAGGCGTTGGGCAGACAGAGCACAACAGAGGGGCGGAGGTGCCAGTAGGATGGCGGGCAACAGGCAAGTCAGATTGTCAGGGGATTGGGGAGTTGAAGAGCGAAGGAAAGCCATTGACTACGATAATTATAGAAGGTGCCGGCCATACAGATGTGAGTCAAAGAAATGCAACCTACCATATTTCCCCGATTGTAAGTCGCACCTTTTTACACTAAACATCAAGGGCAAAGAATGGGTTGCGACTTACAATCGAGTGTGACTTCTTACTTATGTGAATACATTGGGACAATTTTGTTCGAACGTGAGAATGTGCTGCGACTTATAATCAAGTGCGACTTATAATCGGAAAAATACGGTACGTATTGCAGAACTCCTGCTCAACACGCGATCTGAGATGATCTCAAAATGCAGGCATGCGAATAAGTTCCGCCTCGAAAATGTCACACCCCTCAAGTGAACTGATCAAGTACTGTACTGCACTTTGTCTACGAAACTCACTGTTGCGGACTGCACCACTCTGCTCCCGCCCGCCCCTCACCCAAACACCCCTAGCGATCTCACTTGCCTGTTGCCTTCATCCTCCTGGCACCTCCACCCATCTGCTGTACAATGCCTCCCTAAGCCTCTGCCCGCGCTTTTAAGTAATGCTCCTACATTCCTGTTGCCCGTCACCCTCCAAATTCGTATACGACTGTGACTCTTTGTGTTTAAAAGCGCACTGCTGGGTGGATTCCAGTGTCAGCTGTCTGATGATTGCCTGGCGGCATGAAACTCAGAGTTACAACCAACCTGAACGTCCTCCGCTGAGTCTGCTATGTTCTAAGTTCTGTCTCTGACATTGAAAACTCTCTGCAGCACGGGCATACTGTAAATATACCAATTTTCGGCAGCTATTTAATTTCAGCTATATTCGGCACCGACCCAAAACGCCTAAATTAAAACGCCGATGAAAATTTTCACAGCATCTGTCGCACTATGCCGTGCCCTCTGATCTACCCCACGCCGAAAATAAATCGCCGCCGAAATGTCAAAAATCGTGAAGTGCCGAAATTTTGTATATTTACAGTAGACAGATTGGAAAATTGAACGGTATAGACTTCGAGATGTTTGGAAAACAGATCTTCCAACTCACTGTTACAGACAGGTTTCAGCTCTGTCAAAGTTCCATTCTCATTGCAAGTTGCTGCTTCAGATCCATTTATACTATAACCAGTGTCACATGTGTAATTCACTTGTTGACGGTATGACACAACTTTCTTGTCACCACCGCCATGGGTTAAAGTTGGTACAGTACAATTGACAACTAGAAATGAGATCGCAATGAAAAATGTAGGGTACAGAGAAAACAAGCAGAAGAACGTTAGGAGAAACAGCTCGCCAGTTCAAGGAAGGATTCAACAGGTTCGTTGGCCATCGTATGTTTTTTAAAATATCGAAAACTACAATCCTTCAGACATATGAATGTATACAAAGAGAAAGACCAAAGAACTACAAGTTACGCTATACTGTCCACTAACAACACCAGTTACTAAACAATCAGCTCATGCGATAGCATTGCACGACACTGACCGCCGGTACTGACGTTCTACAACTAACTGGCTAACAGCTCTAGCACATCTTTGATGCGCACTCCAACAACCTTCCAACTTGGAAAGTTCTAAGTTATGAAATAACATAAGGAGGGGAAGGTGAGCGCAACCAAGATAAGCACGAGCTGAAAGTCTCAGCTGTGAAGGACGTTGGCGAATGTGTAAATGATATACAGTGTACATACGTATGTATAGTGAAGGCAGCACAGAAACGGCAGTGGAGGTGAGGCCTGGGCTGAGCTCGTCCGACTGTCAGTCTCGGAGTCAACACTGGGCAGACACCCAGGAAGGTGTGTGTGTGTGGGGGGGGGGGGGGGGTAGTAGCTTAGGAGATAAGGGATGGAGCCAGTGCGATCATAGTATGTAATGCATATGCAGAAGTAATATGTAAATCTTAAAAACAATAGTGCGGTGGACCTGTGTAGAGGAGAGGCATCATGGACATGATGTACGTGTATAACTTATAACTAAGTTATAAGTGAGCCACAGTTTGTTTCAAAAAGATTTGCAATCAGGTTTTGGTCTTAAGAAGTATGAAGCTAAGAGAAATTTGGATAGCAATGTGCATAAAACGACTTATTAGGGCACGGCAAATTGTTCTGTGAATATCAATTTTTTTATCAAAACCCACGATTTATCACTTCCTTTTTGGCCGTGTGGTTATGAATGCTGTCTGATGACGATGAAGTTGTGAGTTCAAATCCGAACCTATCTTCAAATCAAACTTTTTTTCATTGTTTTGGTGATCAAGCTGGTACAAGACAAACAAAAGAAAAAAGGTGGCAGCACAAACGACTTGTCCTTGTTGGACCTCACACTTCCCGCCGAACTGACTGACACTTGACTGGCTCACGCCATGTGAACAGATCCACAACACTGAAACGGTGTGAGTGAACACGGAAGTCATTGCGATGTAGCTATGTGTTGATCACACCGGCACATCGATCGATCGATTTCTTTTTGAGATAGCCAATTTTTGAATTTAGCAATCAACGCCGTCTACTATCAGCTTTCACAGGCATCTCCTTTTCTCAAAATGTCGTCGAAGTCACAAGGATAGCTTTGCCAAGTCAAGGCCTTCGGAATGAGTCTGTGTCGATGTCGTTTTCGTCACATGGTGAGAGAAAATTCCATCGCAGCTCAAAGAAACTGTTTGGTCACAAAGCGAATTAGAACCCATGCCGCTCGTCAACATTTAACAGACTTTCAACATGTCCTCTCTGACTCCATATTGATATGAGGAAGACCTCATTTTATTTTAATTTTCTATTAATTAGCCCCTCGCGACAAAAGGGTCACTTTGGCTTCCGTGACACTTTGGAGAAAATCGCGTACAAAGTTTGAAGTGAGGAAAATCCCGTTTTTTGAGAGTGCGTCATCGTTTTTGTGTTCCTACGCGGAGCTGTTGCACAACATCGATTTTACGTCACCGTTTGCGCATGCGCCTTGGTGACAGCTTCACGCAGCAGTTTATTTGAGAAAAATCCGTCAAGGGATCTCTGTTTTATTGTTGTTTGTAGTTGAGGAAGAAGTTTGATTTTTTGACGTGGCGTGGTTCGCGAGCGCTGTCAGCTGTTTCTTGACGTCGACTTGTTGTTTGCCTGTTGTTGACGAACAATGAGCCGTCCAATTTATTTTACGACTGATGAGGCGCTCGCCGCTGTCCTCGCTGAAGCTGAAGACGAATTCTGTGGACGAGAAGGCGAACAGGCGCACGCCAGCGCCCCTGCCACGGAGAATGTTGTTTCTTCTGATGACGAGGAGAGCGAAGGCATCCCTGATCACTTCTTGGATGATGAACTGGACATAGCTTGTGCTGCTGCGCAGTTCAACGCTTTGGCCGCTGACGATGTAGATGAGGCAATGGCGGAGGACGCAACAGAGGCTGTTGATGAGGAAGGCACTGATGCACATGAAGATGTTGAGGCTGCTACTGCTGCTGAAAATCCTGGCAATGTGTGTGGCTGCTCCGAGAATTGTCTTTCGAAATTTGCGAATGCACAAGTGGAACAAACCCAGATGGCAATGGCAGAGATGGAAAAAGGAGATGCAGACCTGCTGTTGATTGGCATCCTGGAGTCATCCAAATTCAACCAGGACACAACCACCAAGCAGAAGAAGTGGAAGTATGTTGCGTTCGGCTACACTTACCTTGGACGGCATGTGTGCGTGAAAGCGTTCCGTACCATTTACGGAGTGGGAACAAAACGCCTCCGCAACCTTATCGGCCACATAAAGGAGCACGGACCAGTGGCAAGACAGCATGGGAACATGGGGAGAAGGCCAGTGCATGCCTTGCGCTTCGAGCAGGTAGAAGGAGTGGTGAAGTTCATCAAATCCCTCAGTGAGCAGTTTGGCATCCCTCATCCTGCGCCTCTGCATGGACGAAGTGCGCGGCCGCCGGTGTATCTTCCAGCACGCATGTCGTACACCAGCACCCACCAAGAGTACCTGCAGGCATCTGGTGAGGCTTTTGCGAAGCCTGTTGGGCTAACCAGCTACCGTGAGATTTGGTCGCAGTGTATGCCGCACATCCGGTTTATGACGCCCCGGACAGATGTCTGCGACAGGTGTGAGCAGTTCCGGAGGGGTGTGGTCAGTGCGCTAGGAGAAGACGCCAAGCTAGAGGCATGCGCTCAGCTCTCGTCACATGTAGGTGAGGCACAGAAGGAACGAGATGTGTACAAAGAAGCCACAGTTGCTGCAAAGTCTGAGCTAGATGCATGCCATGTACCAATTTCCCCGCCATGCCTCCCTTGTAGCAATGACCTCCATTCTATTCATTACACTTTTGATTTTGCTCAAAGTGTTGCTCTCCCTCACAATACTCGTCAAGTAGGTCCCATGTATTTTAAAGTTCCACGTAAAGCTCATATATTTGGTGTAAATAATGAAGCCGTCCCATGTCAAGTCAACTATTTGCTTGACGAATGTGACACCATTGGTGCAGATGGCAAGAAGGGCCATGGCCCCAATACTGTTGGCTCGCTGCTTCACCACTACTTTGAGACATACGGCTATGGTGAGAAAAGCTGTGTGCTGACTGCCGATAACTGCGGTGGACAGAATAAGAACAGGACTATTGTCGGCTATTTGGCATGGCGATGCATTGTGGGCCTGCATTGCCGCATCACGTATAGCTTCATGCTGGCTGGCCACACGCGGTGTTTAGTGGATGGCTGCTTTGGCCTGCTCAAGCAAAGATTCCGCCGGAGTGACTGCTACTCCATGGCACAGCTCGCCACTACTGTCAATGAGAGTGCCACCGTCAACGTTGCGCAGTTGATCGATGACAGTGTTCCGTGGTATGCGTGGGATGCCTTTATCAATCGGCACTTTAAACCCCTGCCTGGTATTTCAAAGCTGCACCATCTCGAGTTCTCATCTGCTGATCCTGATGTTGTGCTTACGAAAGTGCACAGTGAGTCTGAGCAAGTCAAGGTCTTCCTATTGAAGTCGTCTGTCGAGGAAATTCGTGGGGCTTGACTGCCTGATGTGTTGCCGTGTGCAGGAATGTCAATTGAGCGCCAACAGTACCTGTTCAAGCACATCCGCCAGCATGTTCCCCCCGAGTTTCAGGATGGACTATGCCCTCAACCTGCTGTTGCTGCTGCTGCTGAGATCCAGGAAGCAGATGCCTGATTGTCATGCCCATTATCTCTCTCTGACATATTTTTTTTCTTTTTTCGTGAGCTAAATGTCCGTATGCTGTATCACGTGTGCATCCACCACACAATAAGTAGCTTATTTTACCTTTGTAGAAAGAACTAGTCATCATCAAGTGTCCCTGTATTCGTTTCCATGCTAAGTTGATACTAAGTTGATAACATTGCCATGCTCATTCATAAACAACACTCATACGATGTATTCGAACATTCCCGTATTTTCATCCTCGTGCACCACGAAAATCGTATATACCTACCGGTACGGAAATCGCTGTAAATCCGCAACGGATGCATATTTTTCAGGCCGGTTTTTTGCATCATATTCTGTGATAATCAAGGAATCACATCCCAGTAAAATCTCAAAATTGACCCCTGAAGCCAATGTGACCCTTTTCTCGTGTGGGGGCTTTGTTGTAAACCAGACGTACATGTACCGACGTGAGCGAGTGGTCATTTAAATTTTTTCATGCTTTCCCGTGAAATATTTTTTTCGAGTTCAGAGTGATTTTTTCCAGGCAGCGCTCGAGCACTCATGCAGTAAGACGGCAAACTCCCCTGGCGATCGCCAGGACTGCTAATCTTTTTCAAACAGACTGTAAGTGCTCTACATGCAGTCGAGAGACAGTCAAGTGTCAAGTAAGCCCATATGGATGTGAGTGAGAGTGTGCGTGTCTGTATGTGTGTGTGTGTGTTTGTGTGTGTGTGTGTGTGTGTTTGTGTGTGTGTGTGTCTGCGTGTGTGTGTGTGTGTGTGAGTGTGTGTGTGTCTGTGTGTGTGTATGTGTGTCTGTGTGTCTGTGTGTCTGTGTGTGTGTCTGTGTGCGTGTCTGTGTGTGAATATGCATTTGTGTGAGAGTGTGCGTGTCTGTGTGTGAATCTGCATTTGTGTGCGTTTCCTCCAACTGATGTCAACTATTAGTCTCGGAGTTCCCCAGAATAGATAATGGCTTGTAAAATGAAAAGGCACCAGAAAGAATAATTCACTTGCCATGCGTAATTACAGTATTGCAGACTCGGACGGAGAGCCAAGGAAAAAAGACCAAGGAACTACAAGTTCAAGTGTCAAGTAAAGTCGGTGGAATAGCGCGAGCTCCGGTGTGGGGAGCAAACCCTTTCGAACTACAAGTTATGCTATAATATCCACTAATACCACCAGCTACTAAACAATCAGCTCATGCGCTAACATTGCACGACACTGACCGACGGTACAGACAATCTACAACTACAATATTATACTTTATGTTTTCTTGCACTTACTGTTACAAGTAGGCATTTGTAGAGTTCCATCAGCACTGCACATTGCTGTTGCAGATCCATTCATTCTATAACCAGTATTACACGTGTAATTCACACTCTGAAGATAGGACACCAAGGTTTTGTCCGCATTGCCATTCATGAGTGTTGGCACTGTGCAATTCACGACTAGCAGAACACAAATAAAGCAACAGGTTGGAAAAATGAAGTGAAAACTACCCGCATTAAGTTATGAGGTAATGTACACAAGTGAGAGGGGGTTCCAGAGATTATGTCAAAATGCCATCATTTTGGGATCAAAGCAAAAGTGTATTATCGCTTTCTACGTGGTTGCTACACTGTATTTTGTCGTTATCGCTTTTGCTGGCTGTCCACTAGGCCATTGTGATGTCCATGTGGAAGTTTCGAGGTGTAATAGAGGTGCTTGGCTGTTTTCGCTCAAGGTAATGACAGGAAAATCATGTGTTTGAGAGAGAGGAATACAAATTGTCTTGTTTGAGCGATCTTACAACTGTTCTGAGACATCGTTGATCTGCAGCGGCTGGGGAATACTGTGGCAACATTTCCTTGTCACCGGGCGGCTGGGAGGTCTTGTTTGAACGATCCTACAACTGTTCTGAGATATTGTTCATGTGCAGTTGAAATAAACCTCCTGCAACGGCTGGGGAATATCGTGGCAACATTGCTTGGTCACCGGGCAATTGGGAGTGGTCGAGGTGGGGGGTCGGTGGTGGGGGGGGGGGGGAGGGTCGGGGGGGGTCCATTGGAGAAACAGATTCGGATTTGTTTTGGTCAGCAGGGCACGTTTTAGCGCTCTACAGCCGCAAAGGAGAATTAACCTGGCACTTATTAGACAACCCCACTCCAGCTAGCTCCAGAAAATGAAAGGCCAACTAATACTGCTCATGGATGACACCAGTATTAATTGCATCTCTCATGTAGCGGGTAGGTCATTCATACATGTTTTCTACACGGTATACTGTGTGTCAGTCTTGAACATGATTGTACATGCAGACTTTTTCGGTACCTTTGAAAACCTTAAAAGAGCAGCTTGACCAGAGCGAGGAGAGCTGAGTGTGAAGCGGGGAATACTACTACCGATGCTTTACTGCTCCTTGGTGTGATATCCATGATACGTTATTTCTCTTCATGCACTGAGACAACCCTTGTGAGGTTGTTAGGTCCATATCTTTCCAGTATACGAGAACAAACCAATTTTCATCCGATTTGTTTGTTATACCCTGATTGGTCAGAAATATGCGCAATTGGCGCATATTTTGGCATTTCACCTATGGCTTTCATATACTACTGCACGATGCACCAAAATCCGTGCATAAATGGGTGCAGTGATTTATACGGAGTCAGGAAAACATAACTTGAATATACAACACTAACATGAAGGAAGGACAACAGAGACTCGTAACTCGGAGTTCCGCGTTTATGAACACGAAACTCCGAGTTACGAGAAAGATTTTTGGTCTCTGTTGTTCTGCGTTGTGTAGTACACTCTGCCTATCTTGAGGTGTTGAGCACTATCTGCAGCAAGGACCCCAGACGTTGTCTATACAAAACTAATCTAGATCTCATGCTATGGTCCCATCTTTGACTACACTACCCTATTGTATACAGTAGATACATGGTGCATCATAATGATGTAATGCTCCATTGTAGAATTGTTATCTTTACCCTACGGTAGAATCAGTAATGTTACGAACATTTAATTCTAACGATTTAACGAATTAAAAAAACGGTAACATTTGAAGTCGTTATGTACTAAACGATATTTACATGTGCAGTCATTTGCCAGTTTTGAGACAAAATTCGTTAGAAATTCACCGCGCTAACCCACAAAAATCCAAAGATTGTTAAATTTAATTGACTTTAAAATATCTGGTCTTACGTATACCTCACTCGAAACACACGAACAGTCCTCGGGAACACAGCGCACAACGACGGCTTCCACATTCTAATCCAGGAGGATCACAGATCTTTGAAAAAAGTAATGAGCTCTATTTCGGGAGTGAAACCAACTCACTGTTGCAGGTAGGCTTTTGCTCCATCAAAGTTCCAGTAGCACTGCAAGTTGCTGCTTCAGATCCGTTTATACTATAACCAATGTCACATGTGTAATTCACTTGTTGAAGGTACGACAGAGCTCTCTTGTCACCACGGCCATGGGCTACAGTTGGTACGGTACAATTAACAACTAGACATGAGATGACAGAAAGAGAGAAAGCAAGCATAAGAACTTTATAAGTGACAGCTCGCCAGATCTAGCAAGATGAAGTACACAGGTCAAATTTAGCAGAATCCACCCGTGTTACATGAATGCACACACCGGGCGCTTCCATATGCCTCTTCGCTACGCTACCAGCCCTGAGACATCATGAGAGTAATCGCTGCCATCGCAGATTCTCGAGTGAAGTTGCCACGAAGCGCCACTTACTGAACCACAGCCCAACATTACAAGAAAGAAGAACTGCTCCAAAGCAACAAATCAGTAAGGACTGCAACTGTAACGCAATATGACCCAGAAGGTTCTCGTGTACGGAGCAGCTACCATAATATTTCCCCATGTGATTTTAGTGCATAACTTTATTCGACACTATAATGGTGGTCAACCCCAAATTTTAGGGTGCAACATCGCTGATACTGGTCCTTGAACATGTCCTTCGTAATGGCTGCCTTTGGACAGGTTGAATTGATTGATTGGTTTGAGGGACTTGTCAAAGGCGCCAGTCGAAAGTTGGATGGCTAAACATTACTAGGTAACTTGGATTGGTGTGCGGACATAGTTGGTTTGGCCATGCTGTGTTGTTGTTAACAGCAGCGACACCTCATATTTTAGTTGTTTTTATTTGTTTGCCCCCTATCCAAGCGATTTGGTCTCTGGACCAAAACCATCATAGTGGTGAACAAAATCCACCCATCGTTACAAGTAACCAACTTTGTGTAAAATCGGAAATTTAGCCATGTCCGGTGATAGTAAAAAGTTATCGCACCATTAGCGGTTGGTTGCCTCGCTGCTTTCTCTCCGCTTCTCTCCGGTACATCTCCATGCCTTCACCCACCGTGTACCAAAAAGGAGCCTCTGTATCACCAAGAATATACTTAGGTCTTAGATCATCAAGAATATAGCTAGATCTGTAAATGTAATGGGGACCGTGTGGGAACAAATCTTACATTATGCTTAAAACTATGTCATGGTTTATATTGTTATGTACTTATTATTATTATTACAGTCGTCCCTCTCTAATCCGGCACCTTTTGCTACGGCATTTTCCGCTGGATTAACGAGGGTGCTGGATTAAGAAATCCTGCCCTCTGACCCGGCCATACCCAATTGCATGCATGTATCATACGTCAAAACGCAGGGTTTTCCATGTCGACCCCAGTACCGTTGGTGCACGGCTTTATATTCTCAACTTTTCTCCAGGAATATACACAGTGATAAAGTAAAACAGAAAACATGTTCACATGTATACGTACTCTTGCACACACACGCACAGTCGATTTACGACTGCCGGATTATGAAATCAAACTACGTGCAGTTTGAGCGATTCGTTTCAAAAAGTCACTGCCGGAGGCGGAATTCAAGTGCCGGATTAAGATGTAGGAATTGAAAAATCCGTTTCGTCAGAAAGTGCGCCGGTTGGCAAGGGTTCCGGATAAACAAGTGCCGGATTAGAGAGGGTCAACTGTATTATTATTAGAACAAGCGGCGCAGAGACAATAACTAGCACTATCTGAGAGTGCTTAATCTATTACCAGATAGTGCTTGAGCCCTACGGCCTAGACGAGGCCGACCAACTAAGCCCTTGAAGGAGACTGACATCCGACAAATGACTCGACACCAACTTTTACCTGAGGAGACTACACGATTAACAGACAGCCCAGATGCTATAATAATAATAATAATAATACCACAGCACGCGTAATAATATAATTATGTGGGTATAATTATACGTTCCGCTTCTGTCCTATCTCCTATGATCAAATTCCATTATCAAGATAATTATTAACATGGCGCACTGATGACCTGTGACGCCAGATCATGGGTTGTCGGCCAGATTTCTCCATGTAGGCTTGTCCAGAGCGATGGCCCTCACATTCCCCAGCTGACTGCTGCGCTTCAAGTCGATGTTCCTCCTCTGTAAGTCTCTTGTGATGCGCGTCGCAATGGATGTCCTTGGACGTCCACGCCCAGCCTTGGCATCTCCCGCAAAATAGCCCGTCAGCGCGATCCATGGCGGCGCATCCGTGTCCATACGGAGAATATGGCCGGTTAGCTGCCATCTTCTCCTGTCCACGATGTCAGATAGTGGTTCCGTGTTGCACCTCTCATACAGCTCAGTATTTGATATCCTGGCTGGGTAGACTATGCCAATGAGCCGTCGGAGCTGCTTCCGGTGGAAAACGTTAAGCGATTCTGCTTGTACTGCCGTGAGCCCCCATGCGCCGCAGTTATACAAAAGAATGGGCAGAACCAGGGCATTATACAGGCGGATGCGCCTCTGCTCACTGACCTTCCCACGCCTCAGCCAGAGGCTATACATCCTGCCGTATGCACTCGAAGCGAGGGGTTTGGAAGCTGTTTTCATTCGCAAACATAAACCCCAACCTATGCATCCAGAAAGAAAATGTCACTAAACTTAGACTATTCTTTTAGCATTCACACACACGCACATACACCCACCCACATACCCATGCGCGTACTCCTTAAGCGGGATTCACAGAAGCTTTTTTGCGATGCGACACGCGATACGACGCGATCTGCGACGGACGTGTACGATGCGAACTCGCGAAATACCATTCACAGAAGAAGTCAGTGATGCGACAACATCTTGCTGATTTGGCTACGTCACCATGATATTTGCGCGGTTTGATACAACTTGTACAAATTTATAGGCAACTCTTGAACCTTTGTACAACTTTGCTGTAGAAAAGGTCAACATTGTACGCCAAATCGCTTGTCGCATCGCAACACATCGCAAAAGTTGAGCCAAGCTCAACTTCTGCGATGGCCTGCGATGGCCCAGTTGCAGCAGTTGCGTGGGGTGCGACATGGCTGCGATTTGGGGTTTTCCCGGTTTCGCGTCTGTCGCATCACGTGTCGCATTGCAAAAAAGCTTCTGTGAATACCGCTTTACACTTCACCCTCTCTGAGTCTCACATTGTTATTATTTCTCATCTCCTCACCTCTGTTATTAGTTTCACACTTCACCTTCTTTTTCTCCTATTTTCTTTCACATACTGCATTTCGTACTCTTCCACGTATATATCGTTGTTCATTCCTAGATTTCAGTATTGAGACGTATTTTCCCTGATGAATGTCTCTAGAAAACGTGTTCGGAAACTTTTATCCAACTTTTTTATCCATCTTTAATTGTTTTGTTCATGACTACGTCCTATGTCAGCTTCCCTGATTCTCCTTATTGCCTTATTATTATTAGAAACTTCTCCGCATTGGTATCAATGCAATGTAGATATGCACACCATGTATAGCTTTCACATAAGCCGAAGCGACAACAGCCAGACATGATATTTATGGCGATATAAAAACATATGCGATATATAGACGAAAATAGAATACAATTAAAACAAGCAAACGAGCAGCATTATGTACTTACTGTTACAAATTGGCATTTGAAGAGTTCCATCAGCACTGCAAGTTGCTGTCGAAGATCCATTCATTCTATAACCAGTATTACACGTGTAGTTCACACTCTGAAGATAAGACACAATTGTCCCATCCGCAATGCCATTCATGAGTGTTGGCACTGTGCAATTTACAACTAGCAGAACAAGACCAAAGAAAGACATTGTAAAATGCATGTTGAAATTGCTCCTCCTGTCACATACTGGCCGCAAGAGTCAATTGTGAATAAGAAGTATCTCGCATACTACGTACTTTTCTCACTCCCCGAGGTGGTACGTCTGAATGCGTTCGATTATGCATGCGAATCGATTCATGAATCCATTCCTGAATCAATTCGCGCTGTTCACATCACCCCATGTGAATAGGGTGAATGGATTCCGAAACGATTTGTGGGTCATGACATGAAAATCGAACGACTTGAATGCATGCGAATGGATTCATGAATCGATTCAAGTGCATAATAGAACGCAGCCACTGTACGAGGTCCAACTTCCAACTTGCTTGGTTCACTATTACTACAGTCGTGGATAGTTACTTCATACCTCGTTCCCTAAGTTTTTTTCTCTCTATTTTACAATTCTTATTGGCTCAGTGTCCGAGATAAATTTTGTAAGCTTTGTATTCGTATTTAGTTTTCAGGTATTCTCTACAGGCCTCCGCATTTATTAAGGGAATCTCCGTCAACAGCAGAAGAAGAAGAAGCTGAGGGGAAAATAAAATTAAGAAATGTAAGGATAAAAAGATGGGGGGGGGGGGGTAGCTAATTTTTCTTCTTCTTATCATGGCAGACATCTCATGGAATCTTAATACCTTTAATGAATATTATGAATCGGTATTTTACACTGATGGCCAGCCACTCGACCTCAGGCAGCAATCGAATGAGGAAGATCCATTCACAATCGAAGAAGTACTGTCTGCAATTATCAAGCAGAAGTCTGGTGGTGCTGTTGGTCCTGATGGTATCAGTGCTGATGCTTTGAAGTCAGCTAAAAACCTTTTCGCACCCTGGCTGACGAATTTCTTCAACGCTGTTCAAGCTAAAGAGTACTGTCCTGACGACATGCGCTGCGGCCTCATCGTTCCCATCTACAAAGCCGGCAAGCCTCTGGGACATCCAAAAAGCTACCGCCCCGTTATTCTCCTTTCTGTCGTCCATAAGATCTTGATGTCAATACTCACCCGATGACACACACTCCATGTGCAGAGAGCCAAGCTGGTTTCCGCCCTGGCAGATCGACCGCGGATGGTGTCTTTTACGCCAGGATGATGTGTGAGCGTGCACTACTTGGCGACTGGTCATATTCATCGGCACTATTGGACTTCAGCGGTGCGTTTGACAATGTCATTCGTCAGGTTGCTCTGGAGAGGTTAGCCACTGCTGGCGCACCAACGTCCACCACTGCAGTCCTAGTATCAAACAAAACAGCCCGCACGAAGCTTGGTAAACAACTAAGCAAACCATTTCCAACGAACATCGGCGTCGTCCAGGGTGACCCAATGTCACCAATAATGTTTATAACTTACGCCGAAGGTTCCATGCGTAAGATCCGAGAGCAAGCTCTACCCGCGTCAGACCTACCAGCAACTTTCACACAATACGCAGACGACACCACTGCCCATCAGAACGAGCGATCATCTGTGGAAGAAACCGTCCGCGCGTGTGAACCCGTTTTCTCGGATGACAATCTGAAGCTTAACGTGGCAAAAACTCAATATTTCACTGTGACCAAGGAAGATGATTCCTGGAAATCGGTGAAGCTGCTGGGGAGTATGCTAGGCACAGCAGAAGACATAGCAGCCAGAGCGTCTGCTGCAAATCGGGCATTTGTCTTGCTGTACAATTGTGCGCTTTGGACCTTATTGCAAACATTAACCAACGTCGTCAATGTATGGCACCGGAAGAAACTACGTACCATCATTGGTATCACGTACCCACAACGAATCTCAAACACAGCGCTGTATGCCAGAACCGAGCACACCCCACTCTCCCAAGTCTGCAGGCAACGGAGACTGCTGTGGTTCGGCCATGTAGTGAGGGAAGGCGAAGAACCGTCCTCTTTCCAAGCCCTCCTAATGTCAATCAACACAACAGACATACGACGACCCCGAGGACGACCACGTCTGAGATGGATCGACGTTGTCAAGAAAGACTTACAATGCATTAATCTGTCGCTTCTGGATGCTGTGCAATCTGCTTCTGATAGAGCTGCTTGGGTCGAAATTGTTAACAGATGCGTTGACCTCATGCAATGAGTGATATGCAAACTGTCATTATTATTATTATTATTATGACATTGCTACTCTACGTGGAATGAACCCAGAGGGCTCATAACGGGTGATAGCAAAGTGTGTGCGGACAAGATAGATAAAAAATCTCGGACTGGATACAGTACAAATGGCAGCCGGGAGTGAGTTCCATGTGGCAGTGGTGACAAAGAGAAAGGTGGCATGGGTATGTGTGCTGGCTTAGAGATGTCATGAGAACAGATATTTGAAAGAGCATTGTTCTAACACCTTACTGTTGCAGGTAGGTTTCGGCTCCGTCAAATTTCCAATAGCACCGCAAGTTGCCGCTTCAGATCCATTTATACTATAACCAGTGGCACATGTGTAATTCACTTGTTGAAGGTACGACAGAACTCTCTTGTCACCATGGCCATGGGCGACATTTGGCACAACGCAATTGACAACTAGAAACGAGATCGCAGACAGAAGAACTTAACAATAAACAGCCTGCCGGATTTTAATAGAGTTTTTTTTTCATTTGCGTTGATTTCTGACTCCGAGAAAGCATTTTACCTTTAAGGAACAAAACGTCCGGTCCGCATAATGGACTTGTTAGCGCAGAACAGGAATTGCAATACGGCCTAACCTGGTTGAAATGAGAAATGAAAATTCCACAGCCAGGCCCGAATGCTAAACATAAACAATGTCTTAGCAGTTGAATGCGTTTCATGTTTATCAGCAGGTACGCATTGAAAGCAATCCATGCATACAGAGAGTAGCGTGTAAGTTATCCGACAACCTGGGAACCGGACCGGTGGTTACACTCCCACGATGGGAGGAAGGAATAATCCTCCCATCGTGCAAAAAATAGAATTTAAAAAAGTAAATTATCGTGTCCGTTTCCCAAGTGAACTTGCTACGACCGCTAACACCCGGTAAATCCTAGTGGCAGATGCAGCACCTAACGGTGGCGGTGAAGCGGATAAGTCTCACAACCACCGGCACAATGAGTGCCAAGAAAGACCCCATTAGCCGCCTCCATGTACCCCTTGTGCCTGGCCACAAGTTCCCAGTCCTACCTGGGAGCGGTTTTTCCAGCCATGCTGCTACCAACAGTCATCATGCAAAACTCGACTTCATACTTCATCGCAGTCAGGCACTTACTGTTGCAAGTAGGCATTTGTAGAGTTCCATCAGCACTGCACCTTGCTGTTGCAGATCCATTCATTCTATAACCAGTATTACACGTGTAGTTCACACTCTGAAGATAGGACACAATTGTCCCATCCGCAATGCCATTCATGAGTGTTGGCACAGTGCAAATAACGACTGGCAGCACGCGAAAACAACAAAAATGACTTATTAGCGGTGGTAACGCTTCATGCAGCTACATTCATAGGAAGTGCTTTAAGTTTGAGCAGATATACTCTTCCCCATTCTCTCTGCAACAATATGGAATTCATCAAGTCTTACGTCAGAAAGACTTTTGAATAGACTGATGTTTTAAACTGTCAATCCTGATACAAAAACGTTAGAGCTTGGAAGCTCAGGGCTCTACGCTATGCTTTGTTGCCTAGCTCATCGTGCATGTTGTTAGTACTGATGGAAATGTTTTTTTCCTTTGATTAGCCACATCATTGTATTGCAAAAACGTTTCAATGAGTTACTAAAGTAATGTCTTCTGCATAGCTTCGGGACCGGCGCTGACTCTGCCGATCACAGGAGTTCCGGAGTCGACGGGATGTCTGTCCTGAGTCCTAACGTTTCCTGGGACCGGCGCTGACTCTGCCGATCACGAGCGTTCTGGAGTCGACGGGATGTCTGTCCTGACGTTTCCTGGGACCGGCGCTGACTCTGCCGATCACGGGCGTTCTGGAGTCGACGGGATCTCTATTCCGACGTTTTCTGTGACCAGCGCTGACTCGCCCGTTCACGCTTATTTTGGAGACGACGGTATCTCTCTCCCAAAGTATGTTTTTGCTGAAGCATCCTATCACCTTTTCGGCAACTAACGTCCATTCTACATGTAATTGCATTTCCTCCTCGTCTCCCTATTTCTTTCCAGAAAATCTTCCTATACATCAGGGAGTCGTATACATAATACGACGAATATTGTGGCCAGCTGCTTGTGGCTAGCTGTGTTTGATGGTACGGTACGGGACAGATACGGGAGCCAGCAAACATTGTGGCCAGCTGTTTGCGGCCAGCTGTGTTTGATGGTGCGGTACGGTATGGGACAGATATGGTATAGCGCCAGGCGTGACAAACAAACAAACAAATACCGTATTTTCCGGGGTATAAGCCGCACTGGGGTATAAGCCACACCCCCTTTTTGAGGCAAAATATTGACTAAAAGTTGGTATTCGGAGTATAAGCCGCACCCACAAACCAAGATTTTTCACACTCATTCACAAATGGCCTTTCTACAAATATATTATGGTTATGGAGCTAAATACCATGTTAGATCAGATTATGAAGTGTTAGTGTACCACAGGTTGCTGCAGAGATGTTGGTGTATTGCTGTGTTGACTACAGATCACTCCATGTCATCTGCACTATCTTCAGTCTCGCTGCCAGTGATGTTGATCAAAGCTACCTCTGCAGCGATGCCGTCGCCGTCTTCATCGCTGCCGGAGTCTGAATCATTGTGGTCCTCAAAGATCATGTCATCTTCAGTGCCGTCCAGTGCATTTGAAATTGAGCACTTTTTGAATGATTTGGCGACCATTGTAGTTGGGATGGCCTTCCATGACTCATCCACCCATTTGAATACTTTGGAAATTGATGGTTTCTTCATACGGCCTGTTGGTGTAAACCGGCACTCGCAGTATGCAAAATAGAGTCCTGTATACGCGTACCGTATGGTGTAGCCCGCACAATAAAACTAGTAAAAGTGCTGGGATAGCAACACAGTCGCGAAGCTGAGTCGAATGACATGTCACATGACGTCAGCATGCATACTGATGTATACTAAGCATTCATTCGCGCAAGAATATTCGGTGTATAAGCCGCAGGGGCGATTTTGGTCTGATTTTTAGCGAAAAAAAGGGCGGCTCGTCAGGCGAAATTACTGGTCAGTTGGCGACACGCATTTTCCACAAAATTTGCGTTTCACCTGCTGGGAGAGTATGCGTGTACTCGAGTCTCATCCTGAGCACGTTTTTTCTTCTTTTTTTCAGCTCCAGTATAGCTGTATTTTTCATTGCAAAGCCGTCCTCGATTGTTGTGTTCGGTGTTCAAACGAAGTGGACATTCAATCATGAAGGCAGAGGACATAGGAGCCTGATTGTAGTTTCTCGTGGCATAGGACGGCCACACAGAGACACTTTGGGATTTTCTGAATATAAAATACCGTACGCAAGATGCTGAGATCAATTTGTGCGATATCAAATTGTTTGTGATCTACCACATCGAGCAGAACGGGATCCAAACACAAGCTTACCGACGGTTAGGCTGCCGACCTGACTGGACAAATGATCCCTGGCTTCACCAGATGCCAGAAGTCGGACACCATGTCCTTTGCCGCGACGTCCATCTCCAAAAAGAACTCCCATCTTCGTCGTGAAAAGGCTTGAAATACTCAATATTCAACCGAGATTCGCGGTCTCACCCTTTCTCAGATCTAATCATTTTTTGTTGTAGCAGTTGCAGGGCAGATCCCCGCCACTACTTCAACAGGCGATGTCTCCAAAGCATGCCTGGAACAAGCCATATCGAGGTTGCAAGCCACCCCTCTCAGCAAAGAAATCGAAGAAATTCGAAATTTCAATGGTGGAAGATATGTTGGACTCAGTAGAGCGTCCAGCCCCTATATGATGTCCAACCCCTATATAGAGTCCATTGGTCCAAAATCCACTGTACAGAGTCCAAACTTGGAATCAACTGTGAGCTCAAAGTTTAGATGGACATCACTCCCTGTATAGAGTCCAGCCAATTGGCTTCACCCCTATATAGAGTCCATTGGTCCAAAATCAACTGTACGGAGTCCAAAGTTTGAAATCAATTATAAAGAGTCTTTATGTGGACAACACTCTCTGTATAAAGTCCAGCCAATTAGGCATCCCCTATCCAGAGTTCGAAATTAGACATAGGGTCTGCTGTAAGCAGTGAATAATAACCAGAAAACGGGCTCTCCCTTTCTAATCCTTTACATCATTCACTTCTCAAGATAAAAAATAAGTATTGAGGTGCCACTGCAGCCACTTCATTACATGAAAAACCCTACAAACACCATCCTCAAATCAAGTGGTCTCTTCGCAGACGCTGCAAATTACAATATCTCAATCATGTAGTGTTGCCAAATTATTGTGCACGCACACACACATGCACACACCCACAGAACGCCAAGAAAATACCTAGAAAAAACCAAGAATCGAAAGAGAATAATGGAGAGCCAAGGATTAATTATTTGTTTTCAAATTATTGTGCGCGCGCGCGTGCGCGCATGCACACACACACACACAAACTTATACAACGCCAAGAAAACACCAAGAAAAGAGTAGAGACACAATACACACGCAACTCCAACAGCCATGCAAACGTCCACCCATTTTCACGTAAAGTCAAGAGGGATAACAAATAATTATACGAAACGAATGCATAAGTGGGCGGCTGCACGCACGTTTACATACATGTAGTAGTGTAAGAGAGTAACATAGTGCAGTAGTCAGCATAATAGTAGCACATGCTGAGAGTGCAATAGCAAGCTTCACCATTGCTCATGGCCATGCAAATGTTCAGCAGCACTCAGTTCCGCAAGCTTCTGAAGATCAGCACACCTGCAACAAATAGATATACGAAACGAATGCATACGTGGGCGGCTGCACGCACGTTTACATACATGTAGTAGTGTAAGAGAGTAACATAGTGCAGTAATCAGCATAATAGTAGCACATGCTGAGAGTGCAATAGCAAGCTTCACCATTGCTCATGGCCATGCAAATGTTCAGCAGCACTCAGTTCCGCAAGCTTCTGAAGATCAGCACACCTGCAACAAATAGATAGCACAAGGATACGCTTATTACCGTAATGATGCATGGGAGCACACAACTACCAAGTTCTCAACGAATGTGATGCTCAATGAAAATCCATCCACTCAAAGACCTGTGAACAGGTGACGGTGGGGGACAATAATCTATTAGTAATACGAGGAATAAGATCGTTTGTGCACACTCAAGACGCACAGACACACCAACATACAGGGGCGTGCTCGGCCCCCCAACTAGGGGGTGCACGGGAGCCGAGGGGAGCCCCCCCCCGGCAATTTTCTGCAATTTGTTTGCAACCTTTCTTGAATTTTAGAGCATATTTGCATACATTACAATTGCAATTACCCAGATTGAAAATTTTCGGGGGGTGCACGTGCCCCCCGTGCCCATCGCCGAGCACGCGCCTGACATACAAGTATTGTACACGGTGTTTCACTTCACTGCAACTAA